TTCAGGCTTAGAAAGCTACCAAAATCATCAGTCGGCTTTCCTCAAGCATGGAAAGCATTATCGGTGGATTTCTTCAAGCATAGAAAAACGCCAAAATCATATGTCGACTTTCCTCAAGCATGGAAAGTGTCATCCGGTAGGTTTCTTCAGGCTTAGAAAGCTACCAAAATCATCAGTCGGCTTTCCTCAAGCATGGAAAGCATTATCGGTGGATTTCTTCAAGCATAGAAAAACGCCAAAATCATATGTCGACTTTCCTCAAGCATGAAAAGTGTCATCCGGTAGGTTTCTTCAGGCTTAGAAAGCTACCAAACTCATCTGTCGGCTTTCCTCAAGCATGGAAAGCATTTCAACAAATGTCATCTGGTGGATTCCTTCAAGCATAAGAAAATACCAAACTCATTTGTCACCAATACACTGGTGTCAGATAAGCTTTTATCCCTTTACTCTTTTATCTGTGGAACTAACATTTTTCTGCAGGTGTCGGCGTATACAGAGTGATTTAGGATCGCAGAACGTCTTAAATCATTCTCCGTCCCTATCGACTACTTTGACTATTGTTTTCGAAACTGACGTTTCTACAAACTCAGTCAGAGTGGGGGCTTCTGTAGACACCTAAAAATGTCTCCCCAAAACCAAACCCGCTGATGAACAACCTTTCACCGCCATTATTGGTCGGGTTGAGTATTTAATCTCTTGGAGTGCTTAAATCCATATTTCCATTTCATAAACCAACCCAACTTCTAGCCCAATTCCCCAAACCATAACTTATTTTCCTCTTTTCGTGCCTTTAAACCCAAAATAATTCATTTTGTGTCCTCTAAAATCATTCATTTCGTGTCCTTTTTATAAAAACGTTTGATCAAGTTTATTTTGGTCCATAATCTGGGTCCAATGATTAAAAATTTGGATTGGGCTTTAAAAGAAATTTCCAACGATATATTATAAGCCCAAATCCGAGTTATAACGAATAAGTTATGGCCAAAATATTAACTGAGCCCAAACCGAACCTAAGTCCACCTTACCTACGACCCAATGATCATGTGGAGGGTCCAAATTATTTGATCCAATTCCTAAACCAATTAGGATTAATTGGAGGCATCTAAAAGGTTCTAAAATATCATAATTTTCTGTTTTGAAAAGATAAGATTAAAGAGTTTGAAATTGAATAAAACTTTTCTTTTTGAAAGTCCTATTTATATCCGAATTGAAAGACGTTCAAAGATAGACAGATATTATTTTTTTGCCTCATAGTTTTTATCCAAATTTTATATGGTTGGATATCCCTTGAAATTATATTTCCAATGATATATTATAATATCAATTCTGAGCTATAACGGAAAAGATATGAATAAAATGTCAAACTCTATCCAAAACTGACACCGTCCCACTATTTCGTCTATATCTTTTATTCTACAAAATATTTTAATCTTATTCTAATTGGATTAGAAGTAGACTTCAAGAGCTTTCCAACTATATATTATTCATCTTATTCCGATTTCTGGATCAAAAGATATGATAAAAACAAAAACCGCAAAAACTGTTGTCTATCGCAAGAGTTTTATCCGATTCGAATTCTTATCTTATCTTAATTTTTCGACCCTTCCTTTTTCTCTATAAATAGAGGTCATATCACCCCTTTTCCAATGATTAACAAGCTTGATCATCAAATCATTCTCTTCTCCCTCTTTAGCCTAAATACTAGCCATCCTATTTTCTCAAAATACTTCCCCTAATTAAGCACTCCAAGGAGTTCATACAATACCCAAAGTTTTATACTTAAACCAAGGCGTGAAAGGTATAATTGACTGATGGTTTGGACCAAATCAACTCTACTTTAATTTAATTTCCATTTGATTTATATTTTTATTGAAGTTACTAACAATTTATTCATGATATAGCAATTTAAAGGAACGCGCGGAATGTGAGTAATTAGTTAATTTAATTACTCTTATTTTATTTTCTTATTGCTAGTATCATGATTAAGTTATTTTATATTTGATTTGACTAACGCTATTATTGTTGAATTGCTTCCAATATTAATGTTTATTCTATTATTGTTATGATCACCATTTTGCATGTTTAAAGGGAATATGTAATTGAAAATCACGCCTAATAAGATAATTTGGATAACCGGTTTAGGTTCCTTTTTAATCTTGTTGTTAATTTAAGTGATCACAAATATTTTAGAATTATGTGTTGCATTAATATTCAACCGATTTAGCTTAATAATAGTTTGGAGCGAATTGAATATTTTGTTTGTATGCCTTTGAGATCGCAGGAATCACTTTTCACTATAAGAATCGAGTAGAGGCCAATACGGGCGAATGTGACTCCATGACTCACTTCGTACCATCATCCCCGATCCTCCTTTCGTGGTTCCGAACCATATGGAGTTAGTAATCTCATGGATTATGAATGGGGTGTAACCTTCACGGGTCAATCGTTGTTGCTTATTGTTGTCCCTTAATCGTGGTTGCCTTTTATGATCCGTGAACGGTTTACAAGTTCCTTAAAAACTTGTTGGCGGCTCCCTACTTTCCTTGTCCCTAATCGTATTATGTCAATTCCCACTTCCTATGAGTGCCAAGCATATTCACCACATGCTTTTAACGTAGGCGCACTTCGAGCGACGCCTACACTTGCCGTGTCACGGCTTGAACTGCCGCTGCTGTCAAAGATCCGTCGCGACAAGGGACTCGCCGGTACTGTTTGTTGCTGTCATGGGTACACCGTGACACGGAAGGTGACGCCGTGTCACGGCAACTTGTGTTGTGCCGCGGTGTCGTTGCTGCAGTTTTTCTGACCTTTGGAGCTCAATTCTTCACTAAATTCGGTCCAATTTTTTTGCTATTTTCCTCATTTCCAATTTCTTACAAGGATCTATGTAAGTTCTCTTGCCTTTTGTCTTGAATTTGCTTTAAATGAGTAATTTCATGTAAAAACCCTTAAAAATCAATTTAGGGATTTTTTTATTTTGAGGTTTATGTTGAAGTTCTTGTCATGAATTTACTTGTTCATGTATGTCTGCGTGTTTGTGAGCGATTTGAGACAAAAATTGCATGATTTTGTGAAGAATTGGGCAAATCACCATTTTTGGGTACTACTTGTGTGAAATGGTGTTCTTGTTGTTCTTTTGCACTTGAAATGATGACATATTGGTTGTAGATCATTTAAAATATGCCATGATGCGTCGATCTATTGTTTTCGTGCAATTTTGAAACATATTTTGTGTTGTGTATGTACTACATTGTCATGGAGAACATAATGTCATGCAATTAGGAGAACATAGTATTAGTTCATCATGGAGAAACTAAATACTTTAAATAATTCCATTATTTTGCTAATTTTTAGCCTTGAGGTAAAAATTTAGCGTATAATAGAAAATACAACTTGAAATAACCGTTAAGCTATTTGGAATAAATAACTAAATAACTTAGGAAATGATGCTAAGCATTTAGATTTTTATTTTTGTAATAGCATGCCTAGACGACGGGATCGCGACCTCTCCACTCATGGCCGGCGTCAGGCTTTTCGGGAGGACACTCTCACGATTCCCGAGGGTATGGATGACAACGTCTTAAAGTCTGAGCCTCGACCTTCTACGAGTAGGGGTAGGTGGGCTCTACCTCCGTGGACACCAGACCATTTAGTTTTCTATCATGAGAACCACGTTTCTCATCGTTCACTTGCCGGTATAGTCAATGGTACGCTTCGCCATCACGGTTCTGGAGCCGGAGATTTGATTCCTCGACTTCATGAGATTATCACGAGGGATCCCGTTACGAACGCTTTGTGGGAATCTGCTGGTCTAGTAGACTTTTATTCGGCGATCGTAGGGTTTCGCAGCCCCCGGGGTTGTGGCGCGACAGTTGTTCACGCGTTGTTGCAGTATTTTTGGGATACTACCAACACATTTCACTTTGCTTGGGGGGAGATGACAGTGACCCCTCTGGATTTTAGCATGATCAGTGTTCTACGCTTCACTGACCGGGCCGTAGCGCAGATGTCTGGCCTGTCTTGGGGGGTGGCTGAGGCAGCCGATTTGTTAGGTCCGATCGTCCAGCATATCAGGACTCAGTCGGTGTCTTGAGGTGGTCCTAGGAGCGGGCGATCAGAGTTGGCCTCTGTTCTAGCTCGTGGTTTTGATATGGATGAGACATCGCCTGAGCAGCGAGTGCGGATCTTCATTTTAATTCTCATTTCCATGACTCTTTCTCCTGATAGGAGTTTGCGTGCACTCGTTTGCTATCTTCCTTCTTTGGTCAAGATCAGTGAGATAGGATCCTTTAGCTGGGCCAGCCTCGGATATGCCGATCTTCTCTTGTCGTTATGTCATGGCTATAGGCAGCTGAACGACCAGGCCCCTGTCACTGTCTACAGTTTATGGAGAGTCGTAGAGGTGACGATCTTTCCTCTTCTTGTTTTGGTTTAATTTGTTCGACTCATGTGCTCAAAGATTACTTTTTATTGCAGCTATGGTTCTATGAGTACTTTCCGAGATTGGCTCCTCGACGGCGTCGTGGAGCGGTCCATGATTTCCCTGTGGGAGCCAGCTGGCGTGACCGAGGTGAGTCACGAGTAGAGTCTGTCTCTGCGCTACGCAGGCTGCTACGCCGAGGCACATCTTCTGTTGGTGTAAGAATTACTTTCGTAGCATGTTATTTTCTATCTTGACGTTATATTCAGCGTTTCATTGCAACTTTTTATGGTTTTCAGGTCGCTATTGATGTCCAGTATCGGCCTTGGGCTGGGATGACTAATCTTCCCGAGGCCTTACAGCTTTCAGCGTACCGCACTATTTTTGTTGGTATTGGACGCTTTGTCTGGTATCTGGGGAGCGTGTTGTTCGTCAGCATAGTAGTGATCGCTTTGTAGTGCCCTTATCTCCACCGGAGTCGATGTTGGACTCGCGCTTGCTTATGGAGTTGATAAACAGGGGAGCGCTACACTTTTCCTTGGCAGGAGCTTGTGCGTATGGAGAGCGATTATGCGCAGGACTTGCTTCCCTCCTTGGCTCCTCCACCCCGTCTTCCTGAGGTATGATTTCTTTTGAGAAGTTTGTTGCTAGCCTCTGTTTAAACTGTTGAATAACCTGGTTATTCGATCGTATTTTCAGACGAATGTTTGCCGTGTGGGAAGGATTGAGATCCCACCTCAATCCGTCCGCTACCCGGGACCGATTGATATTACTGAGGACCATATTGCCGACGCGCCAGAGGGTTTCAGACAAGCGCAGGAGTCTTTGCCTGATGTTTTTGAGCCGGTAAGCTTTTTGTACATTATTCATCCCTTTTAACACCGCTTGTTACTGATTTTTTTTCTTTGCTTTGTTCTCAGCCTACCCGCCCGAAGATGATGGGATTCATGAAGCTAGTTGACGCTCTGAAGTACTGCATCATCAAGCTTCGGCGTGGTGCGAGTTGTCGGAGTGGTTCTGGCGATGTTCTTGAGGTATGTTCACTTTTTCACATTTTTACCATTTGTTTTATTTTGCACTGTTGACATCTTTTGATTTTGTGTCCTTCAGGAGCGACGGAGGTCCCGCTCGAGGCATAGAGGCTCGGATGAGGGAGAGCCTTGTCGTGGTAGACGATCTCCTAAGGTTCATCGGCATTCTCAGTCTCAGCGGGAGCCTCAGATTTCTCAGCCATTTTAGGAGGCTCAATGGCAGCAGCCTCAGTCCTCCCAACCGTTCCATCATTTTCAGGGTCAGGGTCAGTGGCAGAGACAGTCGTTTTCTCAGTCTTCACAGCCATAGTTTAGGCCTGTTATCACTCCTGTGGATCCTGGCTTATATTCAGCTCCATCGTCTGGGGTTCCTCCACTGATGCCAGGCTTGTTTTCAGTTCCAGTGTATGGGACGATGCCTCCACCAACTCTTCCTACCTCTTGGAGTCAGTCTACACCATTTGCCAGTTGGACGGGTCCTGCTTTGAGTTTGACTGCTACTGGAGTTACAGGGACTAGTAGGGATACCACTCCTCGTACCCGGATGATGGTGGGACTCTTTGGCTCACCACTCCCGTATTCACAGGCTGGAGATGACACTGATCCTCACTCTTCTGGTTCTATAGATTTTTGACCGAGGTTCTTTATTTGTACATACTGTGATGACACTTGACGCTGCTTATTTATTATGACTCATTTTGTACATTATTCACAATTTATGTATTTATTAGTTTGTATTAGTGTGTGCTTGAGACTCATTGTGTATGATTGTGTATTTATTAATGACGCGAGAAAAACGTAAGTGGAGAGTACCGACCTTCCCCAAAAGAAAAAAGAAATAAAAAGAAAAGAAAAAATGAATAAGTTTTACAACTCCTCCAAAATAAATATATATGGAAATGGGACAAGGTTTATACCTTCCCCAAAGAAAGAAAAAATAAAATAATAGAAATAAGAGTAAATACTAAAATAAAATAAATAATAAAGATGAATAGAAATAATTATAAAGTAAAAATTAAATATTAATAATAAAAAAAAAAGTTGAGAATTTTATTGGGAATGAAACTCTCGAAAAACAGAATTAAAAAAAAATTAAACGGTGAAGATAAAATAATAAAATTCCAGATAGATATAGGAAAAGGATAAAAAAAGAAAATGCGTGGGCACCACGACATGGCACTGTTCACTGTGTCACGGCAAAATATGTCGTGTCGCGGCATCTATTACCGTGACACGGTGGAAATTCCCGTGTCACGGTGCGCGTATTCTGCAACGGTGTGGTTTACGCGTATAGAAAGATAGATTCTGAGTATTTCCAAGCGTTTTTGCTATAAAATAGGGCCAGTATATCCGTGATATGCATAATTACGAAACATAAAATAATTAGAATTTCATATCTCAATAATAATGTCTCAGAATTTTGATAATACACTGCGCGACTGGTCTTATTCTTTGACCAATGCTGACAAAAGAGAGTTGGAATTGTTTCATATCAGGGGTTTATTAGCCTTGAGACATGTAGCAATTGAACATGATTTTCTTAGGGCAGCATTAGACTAATGGAGTCCAGAAACACATTGTTATATTTTGATTACGATGAAATCTGTCCCCTGCCGGAGGAATTCGATGCCATCTTTGGATTTCCTGCCAGAAATCTTATTGCCATGCCTACCCTACGTGAGAATTATTATCAAGACTTTGAACGCCATCTGAATCTAACAGATCCAGATTTAAATAAAATTGTGTGTGGTAATGAAGTAGACTTAGAAAAACTTGCAAATTTATATTTCAACCGCCCTGTCTCTGAGTCTTATCATATATACAGTAGAAGGGATTATATTTTTTGCATGTTTAGCAAGCTTTTATTTGCAAACGGTAGGGTAGGACATGCTTGTTTAGCATCTGTGCTTGAACATGTTGAATCTGGGAGATCTCCTATGCCCACGTGCCTTGGAGAAACTTTACGCGGCCTTGACGAAGCAAAAGCTAACCGGAAAGCCGCCAGGAAGGGCTCTCTAGTACTGCTGCAGGTAAAAACGCTTTCTGAGTAGCCCCCGTGACACAAAACAGGCACCGTGTCACGGTGCATTCTGCCGTGTCACGGTGAAATCTGCAAAATTTTTTTTCGACTGATTTTTTTTTTTTTTTTTTTGCACATTTGGTTGATGGAGCGTTTAAAAATTTTTGAAGCCCCCGACGATATTAAAAAATATGGTCCTAACGATCTAGTCCGCAGGAAGAAGAATTACTATGTGAACATGTCGTATGAAGATTGGAAGAATTTCTTTGCAAAGAGGGAATTTTCCATTCGTTGGGTGGTGCCTTGGTGGAGGCTTACTAGGATGGTTGGTACGAATGATACTCCGTATTTTCGTGTTCCTAGTATCTTAAGACTGACTTTTTATTGTCCTTCTCGATTGATGCGATAGTATGGACTTGAACAAGTAGTTCCACGCTATAACGATAGTCCTCGTGAAGTATCGTTGTATGAAAGTAACGTTCACAAGCACGAGGCTTATTGGATTGGAAGACCTTTGTGGACCGTTTCTGCAAGTAACCAAGCTCCTCCTCCCTTATCTAGTGCATACAAGGCATGGTTGAATCCTAGAAGTATAAGGGATCGAGTCGGATCACGCAACTTTGATGTGAAGGGGCGTCTCGGAAGTAAGAAGGCGCCTCCTAAAGATTGTCTCGGTCTGAGAACACAAGGGATTGAGTTTAAGACTCCTATAATGCCTAAGATGAAGAACTATGTGAAAGGGAAGGGTAAAGAGAAGATGGTTAATAGAGAGAAGCAACCAAAGAATTCTAAGAACGGTGAAAGGAGTGGAAGTTCGACTAGGGGTGTGACGGTTCGGGCTACAAATGACACATTAATGGTGAAGGCCGACCTAGTTGAAAAAGAGAAGGAGGTTCCTAAAGTGAAGAGGGATTAGATCAGTATTGCTTTGCTTATATGATTTATAACTTTTATTTATAATTTTTAAAATAAGGCGCACGATGCCAATAATTGTAGTTATCTTTATTTCAATAATAATAGCATATATTTATTTTCGCCTTAAATAAAAAATTACAATGAATTCATATATATATATATATATATATATATATATGTATATGTATATGTATATATATATCCGAGTCAAGAAGTCGGACGCAATGGAAGAATGAAAATAAAAAACGTCGAACAAATAACAGAATTCGCAAAGACTGTGTCACTAAAAAAACAGAAAGTCTGAAATTCCACCGTGTCACGGTGAAAACTGCCGTGACACGGTGGAAATTCCCGTGGCGCGGCAAATTTTTTTTTTTTTTGCAACTCCACCGCGCTACGGTAGATATTTCCGTGGCGCGGCAACCTTTTTTTTTTAGGCGTTGTTCGAAGTGCGCCTATATAAAAGCATGTTATGAATATGCTTGGCACTCATAGGAAGTAGGAATTGACATAATACGATTAAGGACAAGGAAAGTAGGGAGCCGCCAACAAGTTTTTAAGGAACTTGTAAACCGTTCACGGATCATAAAAGGCAACCACGAATAAGGGACAACGAAGGCAACAACGATTGACCCGTGAAGGTTACACCCCATTCATAATTCATGAGATTACTAACTCCATATGGTTCGGAACCACGAAAGGAGGATCGGGGATGATGGTACGAAGTGAGTCATGGAGTCACATTCACCCGTATTGGCCTCTACTCGATTCTTATAGTGAAAAATGATTCCTGCGATCTCAAAGGCATACAAACAAAATATTCAATTTGCTCCAAACTATTATTAGGATAAATTGGTTAAATATTAATGCAACATATTATTCTAAAATATTGTGATCACTTGATTTAATAACAAGATTAAAAAGGAACCTAAACCGGTCGTCCAAATTATCTTATTAGGCGTGATTTTCAATTACATATTCCCTTTAACATGCAATACGGTGATCATAAATAAATAATAGAATATACATTAATATTAGAAGCAATTTAACAATAATTCCAACAATATAAAATCGTTAGAAAAATAATAGAAATAAAAGGAACATAATTCTTACTTTGATTCTGTTTGCTTGCAACTACAAAATAATAAACGAGTTAGTAACTTCAAGGAAATAATAATAAAACAATAATTAAATTAAAATAAAATAAATAGAATTGATTTGGGGCCAAACCCACAAACAGTTCGACCTTTCACGCCTTGGCTTAAGGACATAACCACGAGTAAAGTATGGACTCCTTGGAGTGCTTGAAGAAGGAACTTTGAAAGAAGAAGGGTAGGCTAGTGTTTAGGCTGGAGCATAGAAGAGAGAAAAATGGAGAATTAATTGATGCCCCGTACAGTAGAAATGAGGGGGTATTTATAGAAAAAATGTGCTGAGGGAACACACGGAACCCTAAATAGATAAAAACCCTAAAAATAATACTACGACACGACAAAGTGTACCGTGACACGGGAAATCCCACTGTCATACGGGAAACATTCCCGTGACACGGTGTACTGTTGTGTGACGCGTGAAATACTCAGTGAACGGGGGAGAAAACGCGTTAAGGGTTTACGCGGAAAGGACACGGAAACCCCCGTGTCACAGCACGTGCCCCGTGTCACGGGGATTCCCACCGTCAGACGGGATATGTTCCCGTGACATGGTGGACGGATCCCGTGATGCAGGAGTTTGTGGTCCGTTTTTCAGTCTAAATTCATTTTTAACCCTAATTTCGTTCAGCATTTTAATTGTCGATTGATAATTTTGGGCCATTTCTGATTTATTATTATTATTTGGGCTAAAAAAAGTAAATAAAATAAATAAAAGGTTTGGGCCAAAATAAATAATAAAACAATAAAATAAAAAGGGTTTGGGCTGAAATTAAAAACTATGCTTTGACTAAACATCAAGATTGATCCATGGACTATTCAAAAATTTAAATACGATTTTTTAAGTACTCTCGGGATTAAATACTGAACCTGACTAATAGTGACAGTGAAAGGTTGTTCATCATCGAGTTTGGTTTTGGGGAGACATTTTTAGGTGTCTACAGTTCCAGACCTATTGGAGTTGACGAATGGATCGTTAAGGGGTGTAACCTTCACCCTGTGAACGGTTTACAAGTTCCTAAAATTTGTTGGCGACTCTTTTGCTCTATCTTCTTTCCCTTTGGACGCCACCATGCTTCAGTGTATGATCACAGTGGGATTCAAGTTTAGGGTAATGCTTGAAATATTCCCTACACATACTATTTTGACAACTCTACAATATAATATCATACAACTTAGTAATTATAATTCAATTAATAACCCAACTAAGGTATGAAAGTTGATAATTAATTACTAATGGCTCTTATTAGATACTTAACAATAATAAGGAAGCTGAAAGAAAGAAAAGACTTGCAAATAGATTAATGCACTTGCAAGGGAGACCTCAAAAATCACAACTCGAGGTATATTAATGGCTAGCCCATTTTATCCACTTTTGTTCACTATCAACACCAATCAAGCCTTTTAGTGGTCACTTTTAAGCACTATGGTAGTACGTTTTTGTCGGTAATATTGATTGCTAATATACTTTATCTATAAATTTATTAATATATATAATCAAATAAATACGCTTCTGTATTGTTTGATTGACTCGGCAAAGTCAGGTATCAAATTTAATCTTCGCTTGGTGTATTGGCAAGTGCGCATTGCCGAGGGAGATGAGCCTAAGACAACATGCGTCATCTTATGAATTCTTGGTGATGCCTTTTGGCCTCACCAATTCCCCGATAACCTTTTGTACTATGATGAACAAGACTTTCCAGCCCTTTCTCTATGATGTTAAAGTCATCTATCTCAACGACATCGTCGTGTATATATACAGCTTGTAGGATCACGTGAAAATTTTGAAAAAGGTGTTCCAGGTTTTAAGGGAGAACGAGTTGTGCATGAAAAAGGAGAAATGCTTATTCGGCAAGAAGAGGTATCTTTCTTGGGGAAATAAATTAAATCCGAAAAACTCATGAAGGAACATGACAAGGAGAGTTCCATCAAAGAGTGGAGTGATCCTAATAATGTCTCGGAGATGCATTCTTTCTTGGAGCGACAAATGCCAAGAGGACTTCGATGATTTGAAGCGTGCAGTCATCGAAGAACCCGTCTTAGCCTTACCTAATTATTTAAACCTATTCGTGTTGCACAAGTATGCCTTCGACAAGCTTGCAAAGAGGTGGCACGAGAAACTAGACATCACGAATGCAGACTTAGACAAAGTCGCCAAGAAGATGAAGAAGTGGGGGGACAAACATAGACGCCTGTTGGAGTTCAGCAAGGGAGACGACTTAGTCATGGTAAAGTTGTTGCCCGGTGTAAAGACGACACAACTAAATAAACTTATTATCTCCATAATATAATCTATATTATATCTAGTAGTAATTGCACGAGATACAATTCCATGTTGGGGATTTTGTGTTTAAAAGGGTTACAAAGAAGAAATGGAAATGAAAATGAAAAAATAGAAATAAACTTCGAGGCGTGAACGGAATCACTTTTCTAAAAGTATAATGTTGACCCTATACTACAACCGGGTATCACGGAAATTTTCTCAGAAAATACAACGAAAGTTAATTGCAATCACAAGTAGTATAATTACAATACAATGTAAATAAGCTTTTGTGATTTTGGATGATGAACAATAACTTGCAAATATAGTTTCAAGAGGATATTAAAAACTAATCTCTTGAATTTTGACTTTTCATCATATATAAAGCGCAAAAACAACCAAAGAAAATGAAGATAACGTCAGAACCACCCCGCGCCCTATCGAGGGAGAGAAACCAAGCAACCCAAATAAATCTGGGTGCTCTTGCACTCTACCGAGCAACGGTGGCCCTGTCGAGTGGCTGTCATCGTTAATATTTCTTCGCTCTCGCACTCTAGGGCGCGCCACCGGGCGGAGGACCACTTTTCTAAACCAATATATCTTTGCTTTTCTTCTTTGCTTTTTTTAATCAACAACACCATCACCTAAGTTAATTAAGCTTAGCAAACGTGAAAATGCCTAGTGCTCTGAATTATTCAACAGTCCTCCCCATTTAGAGTATAATATAAGACACATTGTAAAAACTTCATCATCACAAAAAACAATCTTATGCATAAATTAAAGTGTACAAAGACTTGAACTCCCAATTAATGTAACATACAATTCAAGAATCCGTATCCAATCGGTATTATAAAACGTTTTAACCAAAAGTAATACAAAATGAATACTTGAAGATATTACAAACACAAGATTAATTACTTTAATACATATAATTAACTTGACACTATAAGCCATGCACGTGTCCATATTTATTCATAATAATATCAAAGCTATGCCCCTTATAGCTTCTTGAATCGGCTAAACCTCGTACTTATAAAGGTAGAATTCCAAACATGCTCCTATGACAAAGCACAATATTAAGAATTCTATTAAGTTAAAAAACCTCTTATGCATCACAAAAAAATCTGAAACTTTACCTTGGATGAGTATAAAGTTCCCAACTAGCAAATGAGAAAGTAAATCTTATTGAACTTAAGATCCAACGTCTTATTGGGTGTTAAGTTAAAACTTCCTCATTTGTAATTATTTAGGGCTCCAATCCTAAACTGATTGTCATCCTTTCATTAATATCTCTTGCCAATGCCTTTGTGAAACAATCAGTGAGATTAAGGTTTGTTTGAATATAATGATAAGTCCTTAGATGTAATTATGTTTACTCCAATTTTTCTTGACTTACCGTTATAATTTGACTATAAGCCCTAGTTAAGGTAGCATTGTTATCACAATGTATCATGGGAAATGCGTAAGGCTGGGTGTTTCACGGGAGGGGAAAGGACAAATTTTATCAGGTGATGGTTTCGAGGGTAAGGGTTTCGTGCTTTGGGTTGTCGGCCATGGTAGGGTGTGGGTAGGGGTGGCTGACCTTGGGTGGGGTTTTTCATGGGTGGGGCTCGCGGTTCGTCTGTGGGTGGGAGTCGCCAACCATGGGTGGGGTTTTTCATGGATGGGGGATGGCTGGTCTTTGGGTAGGGGTGGCTCGTCGTGGGTGAGGGTACCTTTTTGGGCTGTTTCAGAGAAGAGGTGGCTACGTGTAGAAGGTAGCTAGTCTGGGTGGCTGGAATCCATGGAGGGGAAGGGGAAGAGGAAAGAAAATATTTTTCTTGAATTTTTTTTTAAAATAAAAATAAAAATTGGATGAATTATAAATTGACACGTGGCCACACTATACCAATTACTAACAGGCCAAGGACAATTAAAAGAAGAACCCCCCAAAGGTGGGATTATTAAATGATAATCGATAAATGGGATTATTATTCGCGAACTGAGCAAAGGTGAGATTATTAAAATCAATTTTTCTTTAAATGTTATGTTTTCTCCAATCTTTTACTTTTCGTGAAAGTTGACATACAGACCGATCATTTAGAAATGAAAAGAGTATAAGGACCTATGTACTTCACCTTAAAAAAATATTCTGTAAAAATAATTCAATCTAGCAAAAATAATTTCAATTTAGTAAAAATAAGTTTTGTTAAGTAAAATAATTAGTAAAAATCAGTAACTTTAAAGAAAAAATATAACAATGAATTATAGTAAAATTAATTTTAATTCTGCAAAAATTATTTCAGTTTAGCGAAAATAATTATTTCAGTTTTGCGAAAATAACTATTTCAGTTTAGCGAAAATAATTTCAATTCACTAATAATAATTTCATTTCAGAAAAATAAGAGAAAGTGAAGATGATCTAATTTAAAATCATTTTCTTAAATAAATTATTTTCAAAAAAATCAAGCCGAGTCTTGTGTGAAATAGGGATGACAATGGGGCAGGTCGGATGCGGATGATGTACCTCTATACACATACCCGCTTAAAAATCTTATACCCATCCTCGCCCCACCACCCATGGCGGGTACACTATCTACATCCATACCCGCCCCACCGGGTACAAGATAGGATTTATCCCCGCCTCATCACACACTTGGATATTCATACTCACCCCAAACCCTTTGCCATGATGCTCTATTATATCACACTAATGACGATTATATCAAATTAGGTTAAGAAAATTGAGACTTTCACTATTCAAGCTTATTGGGTCTTAGAGGTATCAAGTTTCATAAATGCTCAACTCTTCTAAAAGAAATGTAGTGCGGGTATAAGGCGGGTACGGGGCGGGGCGAATATGGGGCGGGTCTACTCTAAAATCCATACCCGCCCCATCACCCATGGCGGGTACACATTTTATACCATCCTCGCCCCATCACCCGCCAAACTCCCTCCATCCCCGCCCCACTTGGGCAGGATGGGGAGGGTCTCCCATTTAACCCGACCCCACTGCCATCCCTAGTACGAAAATTAGAAGTAAACAAAAGTCGTATGGAAGAAAAATAAACGAGCACCTCGAAAACACCCTGTCTAAGCAATACAACAAACAAACAGGAAGTAGCTGTAGTAGTTTCTTCTTCAAAAAGCGTCAACCAACAACACCACTCAAAAACTCAAATTCAATCCAATTCAATTCATTTCAATTCCCTCTGAAATCAAATCAAATCCCCAGAAATACCCAGAATTCTCTTTCATTCTTTCTCGTCCAATTCTAACTGCAAATAAAAGCTGTAAAAATGGGGTTGCCAATGCACCCAGTTGCAGGAGGAGCAGTATCAATGGATACTTTAAGCTCTAAAGCAGCTTTAATGCGGGAATCACTTCAAAAGAGTCAAACAATCACTGATAATATTGTTTCAATTTTGGGTTCTTTCGATCACCGTCTTTCCGCCCTCGAAACCGCCATGCGTCCTACCCAGGTTCACCTCTTTTTCTAAGTACTTTGAATTTTGTGAAAAGGGGTTTTGATTTTTATGGTTGATCTTGTAATTTGATTGAGTTTTTCAGATTCGGACACAATCAATTCGAAGAGCTACTGAAAATATTGACCGGACTTTGAAGTCTGCTGAAGTGATCTTGGCTCAATTTGACCTTAGTCGTGAGGTCAGTTTTTTGATCATTTTGTTTAATTTTGCCTCCTTTTTTCAATTGATTTTTTTATTGCATTTTTTGGTGTGAATTTAGTACAGTTTGATCTGATATATATAGGTTATTGGATGACTATAGTGAATTAGTGATATAAATATTTAGTTGTGATATGAATTTAGATATATTGACATTTATGAAGGTAATGGTTGATGTTGCCTTGACAATTGAGGCCGAATTCTGGACTCTCATTGTTTGCTACCAATTATTTTGAAAATTAATTCATATGATCTTCATTAACTTTCAAAGTTGCATAGGAGTATATTTCACGATGCTAGTTTGTTTTGGAATCGTCTCAATGTGTAGTTTTCGAATATCAAGTTTTTATAATTTATACTTACCGATAATTAAAGATATTATTAGTTGAAGTTTAGATTTGACATATGTGCTCTTGGGGCAATTAAATGAAAAACAGAGGGAGTATTACATTAGGGCAATAGTTTCTGTTAATTAGTACAAAAAGGGCCTAATGAACACATAATTTTTGGTTTGATTACTGTAGCACTAGAATACTTTTTTTTTTTTCGAAAGAATGTAGCACTAGAATACTAGAACTGGGGTATATTGTGCTCACTACCCACATTTAAAAATTGCTTGGATCCACTCATGGTTGCTTTTATGTGTCAGTTTGCTTAGGACCATAACCACGTGATCAATCTGTTGTTAGTGAAGGGTCACATTCTAATTGGCCAATGAAAACCATCTTATTATTTTTTGTAATATAAATAACTAAGTACCAGAAATTTAAGTTTTTGCCACTACTTAGACGTATTCCATTAAGTGATAGGGTTGTTTGCAAAATTTGATATATTTAACGTATTCAAAACGAGAATTACCTTTTTTATATGTTATTTCTTCATTATCTTGGTATTAATTTGATTTTTTGAGTAGAATTTTGGATTTAAATTGATTGTTTCAAGGGTTATTTACTTGGTGTAGAGGCTCGTCATAAATTCGTGATCACGCAGTGATGACATACATCATAGTGCTAATTTGCTGCTTTTCCTGTACTATTTGAAGCTGCAATAAGCTTTATCCATCCCTCCAGCCTACTCTTATCAACACACAAAATAAAAAAATCAAAAAAAAAAAAAAAAAAAGAGCATAGAAAGAGCTGTTAGGTGTTGGCTATGTGCATGTGTTACATCTCTAGGTTAATATACCTGACATGCTTTTAACTCCCTTCCATGTTTCTGTCTTTTCTCTTCTTTAATGACAATAGAGTAGCTTTATGAGCCATGGGTTTGACTTGTAGGCTGAAGCCAAAGTACTAAAGGGGCCACATGAAGACTTGGAAAGTTATTTGGAAGCAATTGATCAACTAAGAGGCATCATTCGATTTTTTGGTAATTGCAAAGGCTTTAGGAATAATGAGGGGGTGGCCAACCATGTAAACAGTTTACTGGGTAAGGCAGTTCTTAAGCTGGAGGAGGAGTTCAAACAACTGCTATCATTGTACAGGTGCGTGAATTTACAATTAAGTTAAAAAAAAAAAATAAGTTTGCTCCTTCATTGTGTTTGTTTTGGTGTAAAGCCTTTATTTTTAAAATTAAAAAATCTAATTACTGTGCCTTCATCTTGAACTCTGATAGCATAAAACATTTACACTTCAGTGATTTGAATTAAATCTACGTCTCCTTTCATAATTGTGTAGGAGAACATGTGTCAATGCTTGAGAGTTTAGTTTATTTGCCCTGATTTTCCTGCGCTGAACAGATAGAACCTATTAAGGGAAAAAAGGGAAAAGTTACAGTGATCTAGAGGTACAATGTACTGTTAAGATATGTATGGTGAAGAAGAGGCTGGAAATTTCTAAACAAGATCAAGAGCATATTGAAACCGTCTAGCTTATTTTGACTAGAAACTATGTCGTATTCTCAAGGTCTGGTTTTATCAGAAAAAAGAGGATTGTAAATTATATGAATATAAAATTTACAAATCAAGTAAAAGGTTTTATTTACGTTTGGAAAATTTCAACCTTCTGACAAATGGTGAAGGGGGTATTCGAATCTGGAGGACAATTGCATCTTAGAGTTTGGGTTTTTATGGACATTTGCATTGCATTGAGCAACAGCTACAATACTAAGGCGTATGGTACTTTTGTAATATACCTGGCATGTCTGTGGTAAGGTTAAGGAAGCAGGAATGACTGGAGTAAAACGTATTAGCCAAGCTCATATCGCATAAAGCCATAAAATCATTGCAGTTCTTCCCCCCAACCCTTTCCCACTTCATCTTTTTGTAAGCTGAATTCTCATTTTTGACTGCCTTCTAGACCTGAAAGTGTTGACTTGTATTCTTCTTTACATATAATCAACAAATCTTGTTTTCGCATGTTCTATATACAAATTTGATGTGTTTGATATTTACTTTCATTTGTAATAAGCTGTGTCCATTACAGTGTTGATATCTCCTCATATTTTATTGATCTTTTTCTGTGTGATGCGAGGATATCAGTAAGCCTGTTGAACCAGATCGCCTTTTTGAATGCCTCCCTAATTCGATGCGACCTTCCTCTGGCTCTCATGGAGATCAGGCTGATCCCAGTACCAAAAATCATGGTGATTCTAAAACTTCAGAGAATGCTGTCTACACACCACCTGCTCTTATTCCTCCGCGAATACTTCCTTTGCTGCATAACTTAGCTCAACAAATGGTTCAGGCAGGGCATCATCAGCAAGTACTCAAAATTTACAGGTGGTGTTTCTATTTATGCTAATGCACAATAAATTTTTATATGTCATGTCTTAAATGAGTGATTGGTCATCTGGTTATTAAGTTTGGCTAGAATAATTTTAATTCTTGTCTTTCAGTAGCCTAGATTGCATGCTTTTTATATGTAATGCTAGTTATCCATCCTTGCAATGCTGAAATTTAATTTACTTGTTCTTTTGGAGGGCCTGGGGAAGAGGAGGGGAGGGATTGGGATGTCATGTAATAACAGCAGGTAGTATCTTAAATCCTGTTCAAGACTTTAAGGGTTATATATAAGATTCAACACTAGATTTTTGTATATTATGCTGGAGCGTTTTTAGGATGTTATGAATGTCTCTCGTAAGATTATCCTTTTTGTTTTTGTATAACTAATTAATTTATCCAGACGCACAAGGGCCTATAGGATAGTGCTATAACTGCTGTCATATGGCTTTGTTTCTATATTCATCTAATGTTTTTCATCTAGTCTTATCTGTCTTCTCAATGCCATTCCCACTTTTAAAGCCTAATGGGCTCTTTATAAGCATGGTTAATATAGATTATGCAGGAAAGTTCAGATTTTGCTTCAAAGATATAACAGGTTTTAGAGGCTGCAAATGGAAATTTTCGGATTGAGTTTTATTTAGGTCATATCCTGGTGATATCGTTCCTTCATTTTCAGTTCTCTTTATGTCATACTTGGATCTATTGTTAGTTCATGACAAAAGTTCAATTCAAAATTTTCATATTCAAGAATTAGGTTGGTTAGGTTTTGGATACAATTTTGGGTAATTTGGATTGGGTAATTTGGACAACATTGAGGGTCTATTTTTCTAGGTTGTTCAGCAGCCTATTAGATGTGCTAAGCTGCCAACTGCTTTCCCCTGGCTCTTTTTCCCAAATGTTGATCATCAGCTCATAGATGAGGCTTTGACACTTGGCAATAGCTTAAAGTTTGAAAGAAAAAGAGGTTATGATAGGATTTGTAATCTAGGTGAGAACAAACTTTTGGGTTGCTTTCCCATACTCCAAGTCATCTCTACCATATGCCTTTCAAATTCCCACTGTTGTCAAGACATAATTGTCTATGTAGTTTCCATACAATGAAAATTTTGCTAGATTTTGGCTTACAATCTAGCAAATACAATCTAGTATATTGCTAGAATTTCGTATGAAAACAGAGTATGATTCAAGCAATCAAAGAAGATATTAGCTACCCAGATATTTTGTATTGCAATTCCAGAAAAGAATACAACACAAATGCCCTCTTTCGAGAGGAAGGCTCTCTCCCAAACAACTCAACAATATTTTCTAGATACTTCCCCCCAATCTCTTAACCATATTTATAATCAAAATCAGCCTAACAAACTCAATTATTACAGCTACACAGGGAATCAAAATAACAAACTATAATCTGAATTACTCTTCTGCCCTCCAGCATAACTAACTCTGTCCAGCTCAGCTTCACACATCAGTAGCACTATTATTCTTGGCTCTTCTCCTAGCATAAGTAAAACGGACCTCAGGCCTAGGATTATCTCTTGCAATACCTCCCACCCAAAGATTCACCTTGTCCTCAAGGTGGAAGGAAGGGAACCTTAAATTAACTTCATCAAAGAATTCCCAAGTAGCTTCGAATTCTTGCAGGCCCTTCCATTGTATAAGCACTTCCATGGCAGTCTGAGAATTTCTCACCCCGAGCACAGCCTCAGGTTCTACCTCCAAGATCATGTCAGCTGACAAGTGAGCAGGAAGCTGGGATGGAGTGTGATGTGGTCCAAGGGCCCTCTTTAACTGAGAAATGTGAAAGACAGGATGTATCTTGGCATGAGGAGGCAGCTGTAACTTGTAAGACACACTCCCAATACGCTGAACCACAGGAAATGGTCCATAAAACCTGGGAGATAGCTTGTCATTCGACCTGCGCACCAAGGACTTCTGTCTATAAGGCTGAAGCTTTAAATAGACCAAGTCCCCAACAAGAAAAGAGCCCTCTCTTCTGCCCTTATTCTCATGAAACCTCATATAAACCTGAGCTTGTACCAGGTGGTACTTGAGATCATCAAGCATGGCATCTCTCTCTTGCAGCTGCTCTTCAACAGAAGAAACAGAGGTACTCCCAGCAGAGAACCTAACCAAGTGAGGGGGATCACGTCCATAGAGTGCCTTGAAAGGAGAGCAATTGGTGGCGGTGTGAGAGGACGTGTTGTACCAATATTCTGCCCACGGAAGCCACTTTGCCCAACTGTGGGGCTTGCCATTGACAAAGCACCTCAGATAGGCTTCCACTCCCTTATTAACCACTTCAGTTTGCCCGTCTGTCTGCGGGTGATAAGCCGTGCTGCGCAAGAGCTGAGTGCCTTGCAATCGAAAGATTTCCTTCCAAAAAATACTCAAGAAAACTTTATCCCTGTCCGAGACAATAGAGCTAGGAATGCCATGAAGTCTGACCACCTCCTTGACAAAGGTTTCAGCCACGCTCTGAGCAGTGAAAGGATGCTTGAGTGGAATAAAGTGCCCGTACTTAGTCAACCTATCCACCACGACTAGTATGGTGTCCCACCCCCGCGACTTGGGAAGACCTTCAACGAAATCCAAGGATATATCCTCCCACACTCTCTCCGGGATAGGCAAAGGTTGAAGGAGGCCCAAGGGAGTGAGCGTTGAGGTTTTGTTCTGCTGACACACATGACAATGTTGCACATAAACTCGGACATCCTTCCTCATACCAAACCAAAACCACTCCCCAGCAAGTCTCTGGTAAGTCTTTAAGTCACCCGCGTGTCCCCCAACTACTGAATCATGGTATTCTCGAAGCAATTTGCTGGTAAGTTCACAATGCTTAGGGATCACCAACCTGCCTTTATATTTCAAGACCCCGTTATCCAAAGAAAACCATTTGGGAACCGACTCTCCAGCCTGAATTTGAGAGATTAATCTCTGTAGGACCACATCTTTCTGAATAAACGCTTGCACATAATCCCATCGAAGGCCACACGAAGTCACCAAAGTCAAGCACTCCACCTCTGGTAAAAATTGACGAGACAAAGCATTTGCCACCTTATTTGTAGGGCCTGGCTTATAGTGAATTTCAAATGAGTAACCCAAGAGTTTGCTAACCCATTTCTGATATGCCTGACCCACTTCTCGTTGTTCCAGAAGAAATTTGAGGCTCCTTTGGTCAGTCCTCACCACAAAGTGGCGACCAAGCAAGTAATGCCTCCACTTTTCAATGGCAAGGACAATCGCCATCAACTCCTTTTCATATATGGGCTTGTTCCTGCTACGTACACCTATAATCTTGCTGAAATAAGCTATCGGATGGTTAGCCTGAAGGAGCACTGCACCCAAACCGTGTCCTGATGCATCAGTTTCTAACACAAAAGGGAGCGAAAAGTCCGGGGCAGCAAGGATAGGTGCGTTGACCATAGCTTCCTTGAGAGAGTTGAAGGCTATAGTAGCTTCTTCTGTCCACCCGAAACTATCCTTGCAAAGTTGGTCAGTGAGAGGCCGAGCTATAAGGGCATAACCTTGGATAAATTTCCGATAATAGCCCGTGAGACCAAGAAAACCCCTAAGCTCTCTCAGATTCGAGGGAGGAGGCCAATCCACCATAGCTTGAATTTTGGTGGCATCCACCTCAACCCCTGCTGCCGAAATCACATGCCCAAGATATGCCACCCGTGTTTTGCCAATCTCACACTTCTTGTAATTAGCATATAGTTGATGTGTGGCCAAGGTTTCCAGCACTTGTCTAAGATGGTCCAAGTGGGATTCTTCACAAGGGCTGTACACTAAGATGTCATCGAAGAAAACGAGGACAAATTTGCGAAGGAACGGCCTGAATATTTCGTTCATAAGTGACTGGAACGTAGCTGGAGCGTTGGTTAGCCCAAAGGGCATAACCAAAAACTCGTAATGGCCATCATGTGTGCGGAAAGCAGTCTTATGCACGTCTTCTGCCTTAACTCGTATCTGGTGATAACGTGATAACCAGATTTCAGGTCAAGTTTTGTAAAAATGGCCGCTCTACCCAATTCATCCAGTAATTCATCGATTACGGGAATTGGAAATTTATCTGGTATTGTCTCCTTATTCAGAGCTCTGTAATCAACACAGAACCTCCAGGAACCGTCCTTTTTTTTTACCAAAAGCACAGGACTCGAATAAGCACTTGTTGAAGATTGAATAATTCCAGCACTCAGCATATCATACACCAATTTTTCAATTTCATCTTTAGGGTATCTATAGGGTCTAACGCTGATGCAGCACCACTGCGGAGAACAATAGCATGTTCAATTTTTCGTTGCGGGGGTAAACCTTGTGGCATATTGAACACTTGCTGGAACTCCTTCACCACACTGCTGGTAGTGAAGGTTCAGTATCATTCTCCACTCGTTCCATTCGATTGAACTCAAGTAAAAACCCCTGCCCTTCTTTCTGTAAATTCTTGAGCATGGCCTTTAGTGAAATCCCCGTTCTCCCAAGCTGAGGTTCCCCCTTCAAGGTCACTGTATTACCACCCAATTGGAACTTAAGAGTCTGAGTTTTCCAATTAGTGGTGGTGTTTCCTAGTTTTTCCAACCACTGAATTCCCAAAATAATGTCGGAATTCCCCAGAGGCAACACGAGAAAATCCTCCACTATTGTCACCCCCTGGAGGGAGGTCCAGCACAACACCTTTACACTCTCCTTCCCCCTGAATAGCCTCCCCTGTTCCCAAGGTTACCCCAAAATTCTTAGCGTAAATCGGTTTAATCTGCAAGTGCGTCGCGGCGGTAGAGGATATGAAATTATGCGTTGCTCCGGGGTCAATCATCACCACCACGGAGCAACCATTAACAGTTCCGGCCAACCTCATGGTTTTCGGGCTGGTTAACCCCATCACCGAACTCAAGGTGACACGCATTTCAGAACTCGGCGGTGGTTCTGAGAGAAGAGGTGGTGTTATAGACTCATCAAGAAGAGCTTTGGCCATAGAAAACTCACCGGAGTCCTCGAGGTCGTCGTCCTCCACCGTCAATAGCACACTCAAACCGCGGCGTGGGCAGCGGTGGTTCAGATCCCACTTGCCATCGCAGCGGAAACAAAGCCCTTGTTCTTGCTTATGCTGTAGCTCCTTCTCAGTCAGCCGGCGCATCTCTCCGGTGGGTCTTGGGGTGGGGTTGCGGTTGGGATAGGGTTGGATGGTGGCGATGGGATGTGGGTTCGTGTTTAGGCTAGTATTTTGGTTCGTGGTGGGTGATGTGTTTGGGTTGGTTCGTGTGTTTGGGAATTGGGTTCTCCACGTGTTTGAAGTCGGGTTTTGGGCTCTGGGTTTTTGGCTTAATTTTAATTTCTCTTCGATCCGCATGGAGAGATCCATGGTTAGATCCAACGTGGGTGGGCTTTGGATCCGAACTTCTACCCGGATTTCCTCCTTAAGTCCATTGATATATTGTCCTTTAGCAATCTCTTCTGGAACTCCATCAATGGGAGCAAGCAACTCGATGAAACGGCGACAATACTCAGCCACCGAGCCGGTTTGCTGATGTGTGAGCCACTGCTCATGAAGTGACCCCGTGGCGGTGGATCTGAAGCGGCGGAGGAGTTTCTTCAAGGTGTCCCAGCTTGTCACGGTGTGCCTCCGGTGCTCCCATTGGTACCAAAGCAGAGCATCGCCATCCAGAGCGACGATCGCCGCCTCCAGCTGATCCTCCTCCGTCAAGCGGTAGAAATGGAAAAAACGTTCAGCTCTGAGAATCCACCCATCAGGATTTACACCATCAAAAATTGGTAAGTCAAGTTTCCTCAACTTCCAATTAGATTGACCCGCCTGAAAACCTCCATCTGCTTGATCTCCACGAGGTTGCGAAGAGAATGGGTTTTCCCAGTTATAACTGAGAGGTTCCCCAGAATTCGGTGCATTGGTCACGGTGGCGCGCACCTCCGATCGGATTTTCTCCTGACCAACAGCAATCTGATCAGCAATCTTCGATTCAAAAGCTGCCATGGCTGTGGAAATTTCACGAGCAACACGCGAGGGCAGCCCTGCGATTTCCTGTTCCAGCAAGTCCAAACGCTGACCATGATTAAGGCGAGCCATTGTCTTCTCCGGCAAGAAACGTTACTGCTCTGATACCAAATTTGCTAGAATTTCGTATGAAAACAGAGTATGATTCAAGCAATCAAAGAAGATATTAGCTACCCAGATATTTTGTATTGCAATTCCAGAAAAGAATACAACACAAATGCCCTCTTTCGAGAGGAAGGCTCTCTCCCAAACAACTCAACAATATTTTCTAGATACTTCCCCCCAATCCCTTAACCATATTTATAATCAAAATCAGCCTAACAAACTCAATTATTACAGCTAACACAGGGAATCAAAATAACAAACTATAATCTGAATTACTCTTCTGATCCTCCTCCGTCAAGCGGTAGAAATGGAAAAAACGTTCAGCTCTGAGAATCCACCCATCAGGATTTACACCATCAAAAATTGGTAAGTCAAGTTTCCTCAACTTCCAATTAGATTGACCCGCCTGAAAACCTCCATCTGCTTGATCTCCACGAGGTTGCGAAGAGAATGGGTTTTCCCAGTTATAACTGAGAGGTTCCCCAGAATTCGGTGCATTGGTCACGGTGGCGCGCACCTCCGATCGGATTTTCTCCTGACCAACAGCAATCTGATCAGCAATCTTCGATTCAAAAGCCGCCATGGCTGTGGAAATTTCACGAGCAACACGCGAGGGCAGCCCTGCGATTTCCTGTTCCAGCAAGTCCAAACGCTGACCATGATTAAGGCGAGCCATTGTCTTCTCCGGCAAGAAACGTTACTGCTCTGATACCAAATTTGCTAGAATTTCGTATGAAAACAGAGTATGATTCAAGCAATCAAAGAAGATATTAGCTACCCAGATATTTTGTATTGCAATTCCAGAAAAGAATACAACACAAATGCCCTCTTTCGAGAGGAAGGCTCTCTCCCAAACAACTCAACAATATTTTCTAGATACTTCCCCCCAATCCCTTAACCATATTTATAATCAAAATCAGCCTAACAAACTCAATTATTACAGCTAACACAGGGAATCAAAATAACAAACTATAATCTGAATTACTCTTCTGCCCTCCAGCATAACTAACTCTGTCCAGCTCAGCTTCACACATCAGTAGCACTATTATTCTTGGCTCTTCTCCTAGCATAAGTAAAACGGACCTCAGGCCTAGGATTATCTCTTGCATATATGTGTGAATACCAATGAATCCCACAATCAATTAGGTATAATTGAAAAATTGATAAACATAGTTTTCAAAGTTTTTGGTCATTCAAGCTCATTAAGTATCTGTTTAGCTTACATGAGTAAATACATAGAACCGTAGAATTTTTTAGTAAATAAAGTTGGAATGTTTTAAATAGACTAAACTCAAGAGCAAGGATATACACAAAATTATGGAATTGTACCTAGCCCGAACTTATGAATCCGAACTGATGAATGTATACAGGAAAAATCACACATGTAGTTCCAATGGGCAATAGGTTTTAGCACTTCCCATATAAAGCTCTAGGCAATTGCAATATCTTGAAAGATATCCACCCCAACAATTGTCAAGAGACTCAAGACTATTCTAATTGACGATATGATTATGAGAAAGATATCTATACCTAGTTTATGAAAACTAAAACCATTAATGCCACTTGTATCGTCTACCTTTAATCTTTCTTTTCTCTCTCTCTCTCTCTCTCTCATTCTCTTTTTAAATTATTTTTTAAACATAGTTATATCCTTCACTCTTTTATATGTATCTAATAATGATGTTTTTCTTTTCACATTCATGATTTTTTTTTTTAATTAATTAATTTATTTTTTTATCTTTATTCGAGTATAGTTTAATGTTCACTCTTTCAATTCCTCTCTCTACCTTTTCATTTTTCTCTATAATATATACGTAGTATATGATTCAACAGCCCATGCATTGCACAGGTCAAATGGCAATATCATGAATAAAATAATAGCAGAGGAAACACTCTATTGCTTCCAACTCCTACAGACAAATTTATGTTGCAGGATCCTATGGGTTCCTCATTGTAAGATACAACACCTAAATTGGCTAAATATATTTCATAGTGAAATAAGGATAGTTATTGAGTTCGGACAAGTTCTGGGGTCCCTTATTTCTGTACCTGCTTAATTATGTTCATTGCATACCTGTCACCCATCCACTACTTGTGATATGCATGAACTCCCAACATCCTTACATAAGTAAAAACTACCCTGAGTCCTGCAGACTTAGACAGCGCAAGTAACACCTTGCGTTCCATGTATGATGTGAAGGTTTTTGACTCTGTTCTGAACTTTATAAAGTATAGTCTGATAACAGTTGATCACAAATTTCTTTTCAGGGATACCCGTGCCTCAGTCTTAGAGCAAAGCCTGCGTAAATTGGGTGTGGAAAAGCTTAGCAAAGAAGATGTTCAGAAAATGCAGTGGGAGGTTTTGGAGGCTAAGATTGGGAATTGGATCCATTTCATGCGCATTGCTGTAAGAATTAATTTCTGGATTTGATGTTTTCAGCATGTGAGATGTATAACTGTGTAATCATCTCCTTATTTGCCAACAGGTTAAACTTCTTTTCGCTGGTGAAAGAAAAGTTTGTGATCAGATGTTTGAAGGCATTGATTCTCTGAGGGATCAATGTTTTTCTGATGTTACTGCAAGTAGTGTTGAACTGTTACTTAGTTTCGGAGATGCTATAGCCAAGAGTAAGAGGTCCCCAGAAAAACTGTTTGTGCTGCTTGACATGTATGAAATAATGCGAGAATTGCATTCAGAGGTATTTAATACTTGGGACAATTCTGTAGCTGATGTATTAGTGTTAAAGTTAATACTTGGAGATAAGTATATCAGACAGAGTTCCAACCCCATACCAAAATGTTTAGTTTTGCACTTGCACATGCACTCAGGTCTTGTATTATTGTTTTAAGGTCAATACAATGCGACTAAATTGTAACACTTGGGTGAAAAAAAACTTGCACTCCTATCATGAAGACTGTCATTTTGTTGAAGTTTTTTGCATTAACATATAAAGCACTGCCCATTGGACTTCTTTCATATCATTGCGCAACATGTAGATTGATTAGGCTTTACAGATTTGCTTTCCAAATTCTGAAGGCTTATTCTTTCACTTGTATTGCAGATTGAATTACTTTTCAGCGGTAAAACTTGCGCAGAAATGAGAGAATCTGCTTTTGGTCTGACAAAGCGCCTTGCACAGACTGCGCAAGAAACTTTTGGTGATTTTGAAGAAGCTGTTGAGAAGGATGCAACAAAAACTGCAGTTTCTGATGGAACTGTCCATCCCCTGACTAGCTACGTGATCAATTATGTGAAATTTTTATTCGAGTAAGATCATCTTTTATATTTTTGCAATTATCTATTGTTTTCTGATGCAATCTTTCTCTGAAGCCAATGTTATCTGGATGCTTTAGGTTGAATCTCTCTCTCTCTCTCTCTCTCTCTCAAGTGCATACATAAACATATATAACACACGCACACACACGCACACACACACACACACACTGACATTTGACATACGCACACACTTAAATGAGAGTTGTGAAAGAAAAAATATGATATAAATTGCTGTAAAGTGGGATTTAAGAACAAGTAGATAGAAGAGTTGTAAATGGAATTTGTGTAAGAAATATTCAGAAAGAGATTGTTACAAGCAGCATAAGGTGGAAAAAACAATATTGTGTTTGTGGGAGAGACTGACTTAAGGAATGGACCAAAATGGAGTCCTTAACCAACTTAAAGGTATGAAGGGAGAATATGCTTTTTGGGCTTCAGTAAGACTCACTTCAAGAATTGAAGATTTTGCTTCGAAAGATGAAGGAAGAGAAAGAGTAGGAATTGGGTTTAACGAATTGAGGGGTAATTCGTGGGTGTCGGTGATTTTTTTGTTTGGGGGAATTAAATAATTAATTTAACAAATTTCGTCACTTACCTGGCTTAATTATTAAAGTCCCTTGCACAATTTCGCCAAAAAGAATGGAGCTTGTTGCCCTTAATTGAGAGTGATTCAAAAGAGGGGGAAGAATAGAGGAGAGAAAGTGTAAATGGAGGGGAAAAGGCGGAAAAATGGAAGGGAGTGGTGTTGAGTGAGCACGTGGTGTAGCCAACGTTGGAAAACCAGGTCAAACCTCATTTTTCGACATAAGGTATGATGTCGCAAATTTTTTTGTGTAAGGTATGTTCTTATAGGAAAAATATTATTAGGAAGTTTTTGACAACAAGAAAAAAAAATAAAAATTGATTTATAAGGAGGTTTTTGACAAACTTCCTAGTTTTTATTCCAAGATGACCTATTGTCAACACACACTGGGAAATTTATTTCTAGCTTCTTGAGCATTGTCTCTGTAAAAACTCTGAAGGAATCTAGCACCAAGCTCAGTCCATACCTAATTACTAAATGCAAGAGAAGAAAATCAAAATTCAAAGAACAAAAAATATAAGGATGCTGTTTGTTAAATATGCTGAGATCTTGAAATACTGTAAAATCTGTTCACTACTCTTACTTAGTCCCCATCTATTAAATTTTTGCATATAACCTTGTTGTTGTAAGTCATTTAAGAAGACGTGCAACTACAACCAGTACTTATGTGATGTGTATGGTACTTTGGTTATCAATTTTGCTCAAAAGCTAAGAGGTGGTTATGTTATTAGTCAAAGCTTTGTTAATAATTGCAAAGAGTGCCTAAAAATCTGGTTTGACTTTTCTTGTTGTATATAACCATTCAGTCAAGATTTTCATTTTATGCCTTCCACCTTCAAGTCAGACACCTGATTTTGTATCTGTTCATAGGGAAACACACTGTTTTTGTTATATGTATCTTGGTTTCCTACTCCTGGTTTGTAGTTAGACTGTCGATATATCAAATATACTACAGTCTATCTAAGACTCTAAAGATTACTGTGATGGAATGGAGTAATCTAAAAGTTTCCATATCTGCAGCTCTTTGATGTTTTGAGTGTTCAATATTCCTTGAAATCTGATCAAATTTTAGATAATATAAGTAGCTAGATGGAAACTAATTATATTTAGGCCATTACAAAAACTTGTGCTATTCTGTTGCCTGTTAAGATGAGATGCACCTGCTGTAAATCTGGTCTAAGCTTTGTATATTTGGTTTTGTGTAGCTACCAGTCAACCTTGAAGCAACTATTCCAGGAGTTTGAGAAGGCAGAAGATGCAAATTCTCAGCTTGCCAGTGTGACTATGCGGATAATGCAGGCTCTTCAAACCAATCTTGATGGGAAGTCCAAACAATACAGAGATCCTGCTTTGACCCACTTGTTTCTAATGAATAATATTCACTACATTGTAAGATCTGTACGCAGGTATGTCATCTCAGAAGATCTATCTAGTTAAGCCTTTAAAATTTGTATTAGCTGAGTATGGTGGAAACTCTATTGATCGAATTGTCTTGCATATCAGATCTGAGGCAAAAGATCTATTGGGTGATGATTGGGTGCAAAGACATAGAAGAGTTGTTCAGCAGCATGCGAATCAATATAAGAGAATTGCATGGGCTAAGGTAGGTTCTCACTGAGACATCTTATAGTCAAGGCTTTTGGAATGTGATTGTTGTGTCTTTCAATCATTGTTTTTTCGTCAGTTAAGAAATCAGTTATCTGTTGGCTTGTTAGCTGGATAATGGTTTGTCATTTTTATGATGAATTTAAAAAGAGAAACCATGTATAAATAAAAGGGAATATTCAATTAACTAAATCATTGTAGGAGATTTGATGATACAACAACAAAGCCTTAGTCCCAAAATGATTTGGGGTCGGCTAACATGAATTGTCATAAGGTATAGTATGATATAAAGAAAAGGACATAACACACTAATCATTTGAAAGAATATATTTTTTTTTTTTTGAAAGATCATTTGAAAGAGTTGAAAAAAAAGGCGAGTAAACGAAAGAGCAATTAAGAAAAATTAAGGATGTTTTAAAAGAGAACCAAGAATAAAATTCAAGAAAGTTTTCAAAGAGTGGTTAAAATATTGAAATAAAAAAAACATAAAGATTTGAGAAAACTTTAGCAAAGGAAAACAATCTTCTTCTTCTTCTCCTCCTCCTCTTCTTCTTCTACTTGAACGCCTTAATCCCACAAGTGGGGTTGGCAACATGAACCAACACGAGGACCTCCCAGGGGGTCACCCATCCTAAGTACTACTCTCAAGTCTAATCTTTGTGGCTCATGTCAAGCGATGTGACAAAGTTTTACACTATTACTGGCCTACCGTAACTCTCCTTTATCAGGCTTGGGACTCGCAGTGGGAAACCCACTGGCGGGGTTAGCAAAGGAAAGTAATACATTTCATAAAACATTAGTGGGCTAAAAAATACAATTAAATATTCAATGTTCCCTAGTATGACTTAGGGGTTAAAATTCAATGTCTTAGGGGTTATAAATTTTGTTCCCAAGTATGACTTCGGATGCTTTATAATTTGTTTAAGGCAAACAAACAGCTAACCCTTTATAAAAGTAACCCATCCTTAAAAAAAATTACTCCTCAATTAGTAGCAACGTTTTGGTTGTTACGCTTGCCAATGCACATTTTGTATCATTAATATCTTTAATTATACTTTAGTAAAATTATATGAAGTTAATATTTTGAATATAAAAATCAGGACGAATCTAACAAAATTCTACATGACTGTTTATTTTAATGTTAGAATCACTAAAGGTGGTCATAGGAGTTTGTGAAAATATTATAGAATTTCCAAGGTTGCAAATTAAAAAGAACTGAGAAAGTATAAAAAAAGCCCGACCTTTATCTATTCAAAAAAGAAAAGACCCAGCTGGCTCAGCCCTTAAAAAACTCACTTAATATTTAATTTTGGAAATGTTATTAGAAATTACCTTGAGAGTTTGACTTGTTTTTTTTTTTTTTTTTTTTTCTGGCCTTGTCTATTTTCATGCAAAATTTGCAATAACAGATTGTGAGAGTTTCATTACCTGTGGCAGTTGATCCTGTAAAGTTCCTGATGTTGGAACTTGGTTGATTTAGGTTTTGATATGTTCGAGGATTTCCATTTACGCCTAGTTGTCCTTGGCTGAAGGTAAATCGTATTAGCTAGCATGAGTCTTGCTTGTAGATGTGATATTGCATCATGAAATTGCAATCAACTATTGAAATATTAGCAAAGATGGATGAGTGGTACTCAACATTTGGTTAGCTTTGAAATAGAGGGAATTTAACGAGAGCATGAGTGATCCCTAGATTCATGTTAGAACCATGCTTATGATGAGAACTATTCTTATGGTGAGAACCACATAAAGTTCATGTCATAGAGGTACATCAAATAATTCTAACGAAGAAACAAAAACTCATTTTTTTTTTCTACTTCCTCCGTTTCTTTTTAGTTGCTACACTTTCCTATTTTGGAAATTTCTAATTAGTTGAACACTTTCCATATTTGACATTCTTTTCTCTCTATTTCTCTCCTACCCACATGGGTCCAACTTAATTTTTCTCTCTATCTCTCTCTTCAATGTCAATAATTTTTTATGCAATTAGTAAGATATTGTGTGTGGAGTAATTTTATTTTTCAATAAAATGTCTCCTTTTTTCATGCATAAAGGTAGAGAAGCATTACCGTGGAGGCGTGGACATTGTCATTTGACTTTCCTTGCAAATTAAAATCAAACTAACTAGGCAAAATATCCTGTAGTGTTTTGTTTTTTTTTTTTTTTTTTTTTTTTTTTTTTTTTTTTTTTTTTGATAAAAAAAATATCCTGTAGTGTTAGTATAGTATTTTGACTGCACTGACAGTTCCACCAGTCATCTGACTGAAGAAATCTGTTGCCTTTTGTGGTTGGCAATTTCATAATTTTGATGTTCCCTTATAGCCATGCACTGTATCTGAATATATTTTCTGCTTGTAGATTCTGCAATCTCTATCCACACAGGGTTTGACTTCATCTGGGGGAGGGACTGGAATTCCATCTGATGGAGGAAATAGTAGTGGAGTATCAAGAGCATTAATCAAGGACAGGTTAGCTTATAATCTTACTGCTTGCAAAATATGCCTTTTTGCATCTGACAAGTTCTGACTAAGTGGAGTTGTGATTGCAGGCTAAAAACATTCAATGTGCAATTTGAGGAGCTTCATCAAAGACAATCTCAGTGGACAGTGCCTGACACAGAGTTGCGTGAATCTCTGAGACTTGCAGTTGCTGAAGTCTTGCTCCCTGCATATCGATCCTTCGTCAAACGCTTTGGGTACGTGCTCTTGTGTCTTGTTCATTCCATGTCTTGGTAAATTATCCCTGAGGATCTTCGTTGTGCTTCATCTCCAAGCCATTCCCGGCAATTGTCATGGTGGGTAGGTAATTGGTAACACTTATCACACAAGTTGACTGAAGCTTTTGTTTGTTTGATAAGGCTTCTTTTCATTTGGTTATATTGTATCCTACAGAGTCAACATTATACCTTGTGATACCATCAATGGAATATTCCACCATTTGTAGTGATGATTTGGCCTAGGGTGGGATATATAGGTGGCTAAGCTGAGCCAGAATTTAGAAGCCTTATCAAGCAATATACAAAGAAGGTTCTTTTAGCCTCCGCCATACAATTGCAAAGAGGCTGCTTTGATTACAGTCATGATCCAGAAGACTATTCAATGGCCCAATACATCACAAAAAAAAAAAAAAAAAACGGAAGTGAAAGAGACGGTACCAAGTATATTTCATTAGTTGTAAATTGAAGTTCATAGTTTATCTGTTTGGGAGACCCTATCAACTGGATCAGGCTTGGACTATTCTCAGTCTAGGGCTTCTGCCCACGTCCCCACCCCAGGCTTAGCCCCAAGCACCCAAGCCTTTTCCTAATCATAGTTGGCTAAGGGCCACTTCCTAGTTACTACCTGCATATCAAACAGAAAATTATTCAGCTCTTCATGGGATTGCCATTCTTGTTTCTGATATTGTAGCAGGAATTTGCGTGTACTCTTAACTAGATGCTTAACTCTAATAATACTTGGAGTGCTGCTATGTTTGTGAGAATGTTGGGTTGAGATGTTGGTTCAAAGTAAGGAGGAAGTATATGATTATAATTCCTTTCTTTCTGCAACTTGTGAAGTTGTGATAACACAGGTAGTCTTATGTTTTGTAAATCCATCAGGTAATATATGACTGTTACAACTGTTTCTGACCTCTCTCATTTGGATTATTGGGGTTGGTTGATCACTTGATTGCATAGTTTGTTGCTGCCAGATCATATTGGTTAGATTTTGACTTTCCTCAACCACCACCAGCCCTGCACTGCCCAGCATGGAATTTGTCATTGGCAAAGTCTGGAGTTTGGGATCTATGCAACCTGTGGTGCGCACAAATCTTAAGCTCATTAAGAAAACTACTAGCAAAGGGGCAGCTTGTGATGGAGACTGGAAGGTGACCAGATTAGAGTGTGAGGGCTGGATGGGAGTTGAGGAGTAAGTAGTTTGAAGGGGAGGTGAATAAACGATTCTCAAACCAAAAAAACCAATCTGAACATAGGTGACAGGATATGTGATACTATGATACTTCCAATCCAGTTATTTGAATCCAAAGATGAAGGGATGTAATCTATGTTGCTCTATACTATAAACAAATAGTAGGTTCCACTACATTTTTGGGGCTTTTGCACTCCATGCTTTTTTTTTTTCTTCCTTGGGCGTGAAAACAACTATGGTTATATACGTGTGGTGATGTTGATATATTGACGTATGCTTTTTAAATTGAGTATTAGTCTGAACTTAAACTTGTTTCATGTCAATTCAGGCCTTTGGTTGAGAGTGGGAAGAACCCTTCAAAATACATCAGATACACACCAGAAGACTTGGAAAGAATGTTGGGTGAGTTCTTTGAGGGTAAGACTTTAAATGAGCCAAAAAGATAGTCATGATGTTAAGAAATTTCTGTGTTAGTTCGGCTTCCATGTAAAGTAGCCAGAGGAACAGCAGAACATACAAATGACTTTGAATGTGTATATACTTGTTGAGATGTTGAAAACTTGAAATGGTGCATCTTTTCTCATGTTTTCTGACTTAGTAAGGGTGAATTTAGTGGTTTAAAATCTGAAATAAGTTGTACTTTTTTTTTTTAACTCTCTCTTTGCATTTTTTTTTTCTGGAAAAAGTCTCATTTATTAAAGGTTACCAAAAATTGAAGAAAAACCGAGTTAAGTACAAAACTAGGGACTATCTATTTCCATTTTTCACCCTTTTGGGTACTCTGTTTTTTTTTCGCTTTTTAGGTACTCAATTTAGGAAACCGGTGACTTAACCCAACGTAAACCCACCTGAAATAAACACAGTCCCTTAGCTAATTAAATGCAGAAAAAACACAATCCCACTGAAGTTTGGAATTTAATAATAAAAAAATCACGTTTTTCTCTTTTCACGTGCCAAGAAACTTACGAGCACATACAACACACTGACACACCTCTTCTTCTCTTCCATCCTTTCTCTCTCTAACGGTCTAACCCACCCATCTAATCTCTCTAACATTTCCCCCGCCATCTTATTGCTTTCATTTGCCATATCTCAAGCTAAATTCTGCAAATAAATTAAAATACAATCCCATTTGCATGTACCCGGTGTACAGTATTTTTACTGTACATCAGGTTTTCGCACGTGCTTTTTTTAAAAAAAAAAATCGCAGAATTTCAAATACCTAAAAATAAAAAAAACGCAGAACAACAATGGCGAAGAGAGAAAGTGAGAAAATGCAGCTATCAATCATCCATTGAGGAGAGAGAAAGTGAGAAATCGCAAAAATTGCAGAAAACGATCATCAATCGAGGAGAAAAAAGGTTAGAAAACGCAAAAATTGCAGAAATCGATCATCAATCGAGGAGAAAAAAGGTGAGAAAACGCACAAATAGAAGAATTCGATCATCAATTAAGGACAAAGAAAGTGAGAAAACTTACAAATTGCAGAATTCGATCATCAATGGAGAATTTGACTTTCGATACAACAAATTGCAGCAATCTCATTCACGAATTGCTACAAAAACAGAGGCAAATTGAGACTGAATTTGAAATCGATTTAAATCGATCGATTATAGAAGAAGAAGAAACTAATTGTTTTGGAGATGAATTCGTACCAATATTCAACAATCAAGACAATGCAGATGAAGCAATCGATAATGCAGATGAAGCAATTGAGAATGCAGAAGACGCAATTCACAATGCAGAAAATCAAGTGGTTCCTGATAAATCAATTGATTCAAATTCAGAACAAACAACCAAATCAGATGCAACTGAAGGTAATTTCTATGAATTTTTGAGATTGTATGCAAAAAGTAACCCTTTGAATACATAATTGTTACCCTTTTCATGCATAAACGTGACCATACTTATGCCTAAATGTTACCCTCAGATTGAATGCAGAACTTTTTAGATTGCATGCAAAAAGTAACCCTTTGAATGCCTAAATGTTACCCTTTTCATGCTTAAAAGTGACCCTATTTATGCTCAAATGTTACACTCTGATTGTATGTTGAAAATTCAGATTGTATGCAAAAAGTAACCCTTTGAATGCCTAAATGTTACCTTTTTCATGCATAAAAGTTACCCTATTTATGCTCAAATGTTACACTCAGATTGTATGCTGAAAATTCAGATTGTATGCAAAAAGTAACCCTTTCAATGCCTAAATGTTACTTTTTTCATGCATAAAAGTTACCCTATTTTCAAACTAATGTTACCCTTTTTTTTTATGCTGTCTGTGGTTATTATCTGATTTGTTTGTATTAAATAACAGATACAAATCCAATTGATGCTTATGGTTTAGATCTTAGAGGATCATTTGTTGGTGTGTTAAGAGAAACTTTTGAAGAAATTTTGGAATTGTATGAAAAACATGCTGCTATACTGGGGTTTTCAATAAGAAAACATACAACTAGATTCAAACAACACACAAAAATAGTAACTGAGAAAAACTATGCGTGTTCTGCTGAGGGAAAGAGACATTCAGGTCAGAAGAAAACAAAGTTAGTTGAAATGGTTGATGAAGAGGATGTAAATGTAAAAACAAGAAAGCCAATACAAGTATCCATTACAAGATCAAATTGCAAGGCATGCATAAGAGCAAAAGTGAATAAAGAAGGACAGTTTGAGGTGGTGGCTCATGTTATTCAGCATAACCACGAGCTAACAAAGCCACAGTGGCATTATTTGCATCGTTCTGAAAGAAAAATGACAGAGGAAAAAGTTGTAACAATCAAAACAATGAAATCTTCAGGTCTAACTACCATGGACACTTACAATTACATGGCTACAGAGGCTGGAGGAGAACAGAATATAGGCCATAGTGTTGTAGATCACCTAAATTTCTGCTCAAGGTTAAGAATGGAACAAATTGAGGCTGGAGATGCTCAAACTTTAGTGAACATTTTAAGTCAGGAACAATCAGAGGATCCAAACTTCTTTTTTAGAGTGAAGTTTGACAAAGAAGGAAGAATTTGCAATATCTTTTGGAGAGATTCAATGATGCTAGAAGACTATAGGATATATGGAGATGTTCTTGTCTTTGATACAACATACATAACCAACAGATATAATCTTATATGTGCTCCATTTGTTGGCATAAATAACCACTGGCATAATTGTATGTTTGCTTGTGCTTTTATTGGGGATGAAACGACAGATTCATTTGTGTGGTTACTACAAACCTTCTTCAAAGCTATGGAGGATAGAAAACCAACTTCAATATTCACTGACCAGGATCAAGCAATGGCAAATGCTATACTGGAGGTAAAAGATTTATATTGACATCTTACAGATTTGAGCTATGACAATAAAGTTTTCCTTTTTCTCATAAAGTTACCCTTTTTAGTGCATAAAGTAACCCTTTTAACAGCATAAAGTGACCCCTTTATTTTCAATGTAGGTGATTCCTAATACAAGACATAGACTTTGTATATGGCATTTGGAGCAAAATGCCATAACCAGATTTGGAGCTCTTAAAAAAGACAAAGAATTCAAATTTGCATTCAACCAGTGCTTAAAGATGTGTGTGACAGAACAAGAATTCGAAGCAAAGTGGCAAGCAATGTTGCAAAAATATGAGTTGACAGAACACTCTTGGTACAAAAGAGTGTATGAGTTGAAAGACAAATGGTGTCCTGCCCTTTGTAGAGATTTCTTTTCAGCAGGGATCTTATCGTCACAAAGGAGTGAAAGCACTAATCATGCCATAGGATTCAGAGCAAGTAAAGCAACTACTTTGACAGAATTTTATACCATATTTAAGAAGACAACTAATCGTTGGAGAAGCACAGAGAAATATGATGAGTTTACCTGTAGCAAGTCAATAGCATTCACTTCATTGCCTCTATCTGGAATGCTAAAGCATGCCGCACAGGTAAAAAGTTAACTGACAAGTACATAAATTACACCTAATAGATGGCAATTTAAATGAAGCTACATAATTTTGATGTACATGTTTTCACTTTATCACTCTTTAGAAATTTTGAAGAGGAGTTTGGATACTCTATGGAAACAACTGTTCAGATGTTAGGCAGTAATGAAGAATGCCTACTTTATCAAGTAACACTAGAAGACAAGCCATGGTCTGCACATCAAGTAAACTATATACAAGAGAGCCAAACTGTATGGTGTACTTGCAAAAACTTTGAAGCATCTGGATGGTTATGTTATCATTGCATCAGAATTCTACATTTGCATTCAGTAACAAGAATACCAGACAAGTATGTTTCAAAAAGATGGACTAAGTTTGCAAAAACAGAGGCATGTGATAGGTTGAAGAATCAGGATCCTAAACAGCAATATATTCCATGGAGGCAAACAATGATGAGGAAATACTACAATCTAATCTTAAAAAGTCAAGAAAATGAAGAGACAAGAGCATTTATGGAAGAAAGCTTCAGAAACAGTCTTAAAATGGTGGAAGACTTACTTGCTAGTGCTGCTCAGAAAGAAAGTGCAGAAGCTGCTTCTAATATTCCTGATGTGGCAGACAACACTCAAAACAATACTGACGCTTCTTCAGCATCGAGTACAAGCACATGTGTACCAATAATTCTTGATCCTAAAAGGGCTGTAACAAAAGGAAGAAGCAAGAAAGCAAAAGGAGGACTTGAAAAAAGAAAGAGAAAAAGAAAACCAGCACTGCCACCTCCAAATTCAGAATTTGGATCAAAGACACCTAACTTACGACTCTTTTAAGATCTTTTTTAGAACATTTTTTTTTCGAAATTAATATACCTTGTATTGTTAAACTATTTTTCTTTTGTTTTTTTTACTCTATGACTAGTTTAATGAAAATGTGATTGACACTTTTATTAGCACATGTTTAATTATTGGAACACATCAACTTATGTTACCCTTTTAACGTATAAAAGTAACCCTTTTCATGCATAAAAGTAACCCTTTTCATGCATAAAAGTGACCCTTTTCATGCATAAAAGTTATCCTTTCTATCCACTAAATCAACCTTTTCTTTGGAAATAGTTACCCTTTCTATTAATAAAAGTTAACCTTTTTATCAATAAAAGTTACCCTTTTCATGCATAAAAGTTACACTATCTACCCACAAAAGTATACCTTATCATGTATAAACTTATTATTTCTACCCACAAAAGTAACCCTTTTTATGCTACAAAGTAAACCTTTTTATGCATGAAAGTGACCCTTTTCATGCATAAAAGTTATCCTTTCTATCCACTAAATCAACCTTTTCTTTTCTAATAGTTACCCTTTCTGTTAATAAAAGTTACCCTTTTATCACTAAAAGTTATCCTTTTCATGCATAAAACCCCTGACCCTTTTATTTTACAGAAAAAAGTGTCCCTTTTCATGAATAGAAGTGACCCTTTTTCTACATAAAAGTGACCCTTTTCATTGCTAAAATTACCATTTCTAACAATAAAATCTACCTTTTTCTTGCTTAAAAGTTACCCTTTCTATAAATAAAAGTTACCCTTTCTATAAATAAAAGTTACCCTTTTCTGCATAAAAGTTACACCATAAAAAACATAAAAATAAATCTTTTAATTACTTTATGTATTCACATACATCAGTATTCCAAAAACAACTAAAGACTTTAAACTAAGTTTAATTACATCATTAAACTTAATGTATGCACATACATTAAGTTTTTTCATTGTTAAAAAAACCCCCTGAACTAATCAGCTAACAACTATCAATTATTTCACTATTTAGAAGGAGTAAACTTTTTTGCCCTTTTTCCTTTGTTCTTTTCCTCTTCTCCCTCTGCCTTTGCTTCTGCTTCTGCTGCCATTTTTCTTTCTTCTGTTTCTCTCTTCTTCTTTGCAGCAATTGCAGCCTTTAATCTTTCTTCAATTCCATTGACATAAGCAGGATCTTTCTTCTTCTCATTGAACTTGTGTAATTCTGACAACACATCGTTCCTAGATTCATTCAAATCACACAGTACCAGTGTGGTACAGATCTCTCCTCGTAAAAATTTCCTTCCATTAATCTCAAAACAGCAAAAAAAAATAAAAATTATCAATATGTAATTAATAAAAGCATTAGAAAGGAAAAAACTACAGAAACTATATAGATAATTATTGTTTTGAGATCATTGAATTTGAACGATTCACCAACAAAATGGAGCATGTGATACATGACAAAGACCCCACAGTCCAAATTGTCAACTTTTTCTTTTCTCCATTCCAACTCAACAACTTCAAAACCATAAGAAGGTAGCTGAGAACTCTTTGGATGATTTCTTTTGCCAAGAAAAGCACCCATTTGAACACACTGACATAAAATATAAAAGTTTAGAATACATTAAATTAAAAAAAGTTAAAATGGAAACAATGAATCAACAGTAACATAACAAAAAAAAACAAACATAAACATACCATCTTTGAACACAATTCTTTTGTATAAACAAGAGCAGAATCAGTCCAGATAATGTTGTTAAGATAATATACCAACTCTTTTGTATGATCAATAACATACAAAATATAGTGATTCTCAATAAGAACAGGAAAATAGATCTGAAACAGCAAAATTAAAGAGATTTAAACAGAGCAGATCATAAAGAGAACTCTTTTAAATTTATTACATTAAGTTTAGAATAAAAATACCATATCAGCATCCATTATATTACATTTTGGATTCTCATAGCTAACCCAACCTTCCCATATGTCGTGCAAATCCTTAACAGCACTAGATATGTTACCTTTGCCAATATTGTCACAAACATGCAAGAATGAAAACTATTAAAGTATAAGATCTCAATAATATATATATATATAAAGTAAATGTGTTAAGATATAAAAAAGGGAATGAAATAACTTACACTCTGCCTAACACTAAAGAAGAATTTTCGAGGACCAGTAGCTTGAAAACATGCTTTCTCATTCAAATACAGACAGAAGCAATCAATAACGCACCATCGAATCCTGAGTGGAGCAACAAGGGACACCATGTCTTCTCTTGGAATTAGAAAGTTCATTCCAAAAGTAACAAGGCTTTCACTGAAACAATAAAAAATAAGATCAACATTAAAAAAAAAATATAAGAAAAAAAAACAGATAAAAAAATAATTATAATAAAAAAGGACACTTAACTTCCTATCCATTGAAACATCCTTCAACAAACAATAATCGAGAATTTCCAAATGTAACTGAGGCAAATTCTTGAAAATCCGAGCATTGCTCTTTACAAAAAGAGTTACAAAAGGCACCTGCACACCTACATGTCCACAGTCCAGAGAGCATAGAGATTTATTTTCTCTGAGTCGAGGAGGTTCATTTTGATCAATATGCCCGACAGGAATATTTTGAGTAGGACCAGGAATGATAGCAGAAGGTCCAGAACCATTAAGGCCTTCATTAACTATTTTTCCATGACCATTGTCATCATCCTTAGGAATATTTTCATTGAAACCTTGTGCAGGTTCTTTTTCAGGAACAAAATCTTTGTTACCTTCTGTAGGTTCATAAAAACTGCGAAACATATCATGTACAGACTTCATTTTATTACACTCATCAATTAAACCATCTAAAATCTTCAAATAATGAGGATCAGAGAGTAGCAGTTTAGTTTGAGAAACTGAAACAAAATCATCAGAAGATAATGAAACACTTCTGCGAGAAGTAATCAGATCATTCAAGGTTTGAAAACCAGTTGACTGAACAAATAATAAAACATCCATATTTATTTTAAACAAAAGAAACGTTTCATGAACAACCTACAAACATATGAACAATGAAAAAAAAAATATTACAAATAAAAATAATAAAATAAGTAGGAAATCTGAATATATGCTAAAAGTGACCCTTTTAAATGCATAAACTGACCCTTTTAAATGAAAAAAGTTACCCTTTTGTATGAATAAAGTAACCCTTTTAACTTAATATTGAAGATAACTTTAATGCAACTAAAGGGTAACTTCGGTGCAAATAAAGGGTAACTTTGGTACACAAAAAAGGTAACTTTTGTACACAAAAGGGTAACTATTGTACACAAAACGGTAACTTTTGTACACAAAAAAGGGTAACTTTTGTACACAAAAAGGATAACTTTTGTAAACAAAAAGCAATAATAACTAAACATATAAGAAAACAGAACACTTACATCAGTTGAAATTTTTTTAATTTCTTCATCGGTCATAATACCTTCTGGAAGCTCAAATGCAACAATGCGACCAGTGGTACCACTTGTAGAAGGACCCTTATCATAACCCAAAGTAGGAGCTGGCTTAAAAACAGTTCCCCTAAAATTAAGCTGTGACACAGGATATGTAATAGTATCCAATGGTCCCTGCCCATAACCACCAGCTTTGATCTCTAACTTAATTCGCTTCTTAATCTTTACATCCGTCCAATGTTGAATTAAAGGAAGAGTACTACTTTCCTTTTCACCTTGAAAATTTAGACGATGAAAATACATAATTTGCAAAGCCAGCAAACAACCACTAACATTTTGAGCATTTTCATCATCCTTATACTTCTGAACAACCTTCTTTAACTTTTTTAAAACATATGAACACCAATCAAAAGTTTTAATTTCATCAACTTTTTCAACAGCTTTCAGCAACTTCAATGAAACAGTTCTATTAGTACTAGGAGCTAAAAAGCTAGACATAGCTTGAAGAACAAAACACCTCTTAAATTCTTCCCCTCCATCAACCAAATCAACCATCCTAGACTCCAATTTTGACAAATGAAGAGGTTGCTTACCAGAAAGACCATAATCAGATCTCCATGCCTGAATGATACGTTTATCTACACTTTCATCTTCAGAATTTTTATTAAGTTCAGGAACACAAATATCACTCAAAGGCAAGCAAAACACATCGCATATATCATTTCTAGTAACAAAAAAATCTTTACCAGTAGCGATGGTAAACATGCAGCTACCAGCATTGAAGTTTTCAACAAGCCAAGGTAGCATTTGACGATTAAGAGTTTTCAATTTAAGAGGTAATAAACCTCCAAAACCAATTTCTTCAACAACTTGTTTTTGCTCAGGACTAAAGTTCTGCAGCAATATTTCCAATGAATAGGGTCTACATCTTACAATGATTCTTCTTTGCTCCCTAAATAGAAAAAAAAAGAAAGAAAATGTAACTAAAACAATATAAAAGAAAAACAAAATATAATTAAAAATGTAATAAAAAAATATGTATACTTACATAAAAGATTCAGAATCAGATTCAGAAAGCATTTCATAATCAGAATCTTCCACTGTATTAGCTTTCTTAGGTACAATTTTGGCCTTCTTAGGAACTATTTTGGCCTTCTCAGACTCTGGTTTGTCACTCTCAGGAATTTTCCCAGCCTTTTTAGATACTGCTTTGCTCTTCTCAGGAGCTATCTGGGTCTTTTTTGGTACTGGTTTAGGCTTAGCAGGCTCTTTAGGCTTTCCTTTTCCTTTTGTAGGCTTTTTATAACGATAACCACCTATTGAACCACCTGTATTTAATTATTAAAGTAATATAAATACAAATTCAGAAATTACTCATGGAAAAATATAGAATAATGTGCACAAATGACACTTTTAAATGCATAAAGTGACCCTTTTAACAGCACAAAGTAGCCCTTTTAACAGCACAAAGTGACCCTTTTAACATCACAAAGTGACCCTTTTAACAGCATAAAGTGACCTTTTTAACAGCATAAAGTGACCCTTTTGTATGCAAAAAGTGACCCTTTTATATGCAAAAAGTGACCCTTTTTTTTGCAAAAAGTGACCCTTTTAACTGAAAAAGTTAATCATTTAACAACATATAGTGACTCTTTTAACAGCATAAAGTCACCCTTTTAACATCATAAAGTGAACATTGTCAAAACATATAAATGACACACATGTCTATTACTCAAACACAATGAGCAATGCATATATGCATGTTAATCAAACACAGATGCACAAACACAATGCGAATATGCTTATTATACACATAATCTAACTAAAACATAAAACCTAAACAAATAATCAGTTTAATTAGCATTCTCTGACTAAAACCTAACATACAAAATTTGAAGAATAATAAGCAAAATTTTGAATCAATTATATACAATGAACAATAAAATAAAGCAAAATTAAACATAATAACTTCATAATTCAAATTCAATTATCATAATATGCATAAAAAATCAACTGAAAACTATAAAAAATAACATGCACTACTAATTCGACATATATAAGCGAAATTTCAATTGAAAAATTTGAAAAAATGATGAAAAATTTAAGTAAACACACCTTCTTCAGCATCTACAGCCTTCTTTGTAATCTTCTTCTTCACCATTGCAGAATCAACACTACGAAAATCGAAAACAAAATCAAAATCAAAAAACCTAAAAATCGAAGAATCAAAACAATTTAAACTAACAAAAATCTCAAAAAAATAAGTCAACGAACCTGAATTAAGCAAATAACAACTTCACCAGTGAAAAAGAAGAAAGAAAAAGCTCGAAAATCAACAATGGAGGAGAGAGAAAACGCTCGAAATCGCCAGTTACTTGCTTTTTAGAGAGAGAAAAACGAAGAGAGAGAAAGCTATAGTGAATGAATGAAGAGAGAAACGTTCTATTTCTTTCTTTATTTTGGCAATCATTAGGAAGCACGTGCCAAACCCACTAAATTGGCAGTTGATGCTTGTCCAAAAATTCCGCCATTCATTAAATTAATGAACACCGGTTTTTTTTAAAAAATTTGTGATTAAAATAATTATGAAAACACTAGCTACCTATTGCTACTGCTACACCACTAATGGCGGAGGAAGAATTTGCTACTCCACTGCCGTCGTGGCACTAGAGTACCAGACGTCTGCACCCTTCCTTTGGCCTCCATCACTCCGTCTGACCATCTAATTGTCCACCGTAACTTATTACTCATATCTGAATATTGAATTTTAGAATTTTCAATTTCTTTTTCTCCATGAGTTTTTGCCTATGTTGGGTTTATTTTGTGCTTGAATTAGGTGTTTTTGTTAATTAATTTATCAAATTAGTTTTGGTGTTGCTTAAAATTGATGACTTGTTAATTATTCTTCACAATTAGGGTTTCAAATTCATGGAAATTTGGGAAGTTATAATTTGGCATTTCTAATTATTTAGTTAGAAATTAATATTTTAATGAGGATTGTATTGTTTGACAAATTGAGAATTGTTGAATTCAAACTAACTATGGTGACAATTGAATACTTGAATTGTTTGTTAAATTGAGAATATAATTTAAGTTCTTTATTGTTTATTATTTGTATAATTAACCTGGGTAATTTTTACAAAATTGGATTGTTTAATCTTATTAAAATTGTGATTTAAGTTTCGAAATGAAAAGGAGAAAATTGGGTGGATATAACAAGTTTCTTTAGTAAGTAAAATAAGGGGACTCAATTTTTTCGTTTCCAATGGTCTTTTTTAAGGGGGTCCCACATGTTAACCAAGGTACTCAGTTTTTAACTTACCTTTGGTTAACTTTATGCCGGAACATGCCGTTAAGTATCTAAAAGGTGAAAAAAAACTTAGAGTACTCAAAAGGTGAAAAATGGAAAAAGATAGTATCTACTTTTATACTTAAATTTGAAAAAACCCAGTAGTTACTCAATGCATATTTTTTTACTAAATACAAATTCTTATGTGGCTGATTACAGTGTGTAGCTAGCTATCATGGGGGTTACTTTCTTAGTGTTATAGATAGAAGTTATTTGATCAATGTTACATGAGTTACTTGGTCAGTGTTATAAGGGTTACTCAATTTTTATTATAGGAGGTTACTTTTTTTTTTTTTTAGTAGAAGAAAAAGGAATTTCATTAATAAAATATCGCCAAACGGCACTTACATATAATTCTTAAGAAATCAAGAATTCCAGCACAAGTACACACCTTAAAACTAAATACATCGTAGGATTGATTAACAATCGCCTTTATAAAAAACTTCATCTAAAGCAATACAATCTATGAGTTCGCACTGATTCGGCTTGAAATCCACGGATGCGTAGTCTTTTGAGTGAAAATATTCATGTGGTCCTCCGGATTCTTGTAGACAATATGAAACCCTAGATCTTCAACTCTTACCATAGAAACATAAAAAGAAAATATCATCATCTCAAGGATGAGATCTGTTTACTATTGAAAGCAAACGGTCACATAGTGTGGCCAGCTGCACACAAATCGCGCTATTAATTGAATTGTCTCCAATCATCAATATTTTTTTTTTGAAAAAAATGTGAATGAGATAATCCAATAAGATTTCACATTATTATGTTTATTCTTACGAAAATTCACTACAAATAAACAATATGTAACGTTTCCGTAGTCCAAAATTTTCACATGCTAAAATTAAATTTAATTATATGATTTAAACACAAATTTTTAAATAAAATAATTAGAAAGTAAATTTCATAACGCTTAATATACTACCTAAAATAAATACCGTTATCAGTGGCGAATATATAACCGGGGGGACAACAATTAAACGTCGCATCATTTGAAAAAAATATATATATATATAAAATTAAACATAACGAAAGGTTTATAGTTAAAATTTTACAAATAAAAAATCGACAATTTATAATTAGTCCTGCAATTCAAAAAAAGATGGAAAAAGTACATAAAGTTTAATATTAAAATATAATTGCATCCTTCGAGTCTTCATATTTTGAAATCGATTAATGATTTTTTTCATCAGGAACGTGTAAGAACACTTGCTTCTCAATAAAAGTGACCAAACAATCATTCGTAAATTGGTCACCCATGTTGTTTCACAACTTACTTTTGACATGTATCGTTGTGGAGAATACTCTTTCAACACTTGCCGTAGCAACAGGGAGAATCAACATCAACTTGATAAGCAAATATACAAGAGGTTATGTCTTATCCTTCTTGGTATTAACAAGCATCATGGAAAGAGAGTTAAGATCACACAAATTTTGAAATCTCTCATCATTGTGCATAATCCATGAATATATCAAGTTGACCTTCAAGTGTCATCAAATCAAAACTTGAAAATTCTTCGGGATAAAAAGAGGCAAGTTTGAGTACCTTTTCTTTGTCAAAAGATGAGAAGTTATCTTTAGAACTTAAGCAAGACATACAAGCAAGTAACTCCATGCTTCTCTCACTGAATCGATTATCGAGCTCTTGAAGATGCAAATCAATCACCCCCAAAAATATTTTAACTCGAAAATGATGTAGATTTGTTGCCTTTTCGACAAAGCGTCGTGATCTCCTAGCATCCATAGTGGGAACATCAATGCCATGTTTAGTGCAAAATAAAGTAACTTTGTATAAGAGAGTCTCCCACCCTTGTTCCCTCATTTTTTGCAACACACTTTTTGTGAAAGTAACTAGTTCCATGGCATTTACAATATCTTGCTCCCTTATTTGCAAAGCAATACACAAATCATTAGTGTAACTAAAAATAGTCAACATCAAGTAAGCAACAAAAATAAAATCAAATGACTCTAATTGTCCTAAAACAATTCGAGCTATAGACTTATCTTCTGATGCACCATGTTTCCCAATGTGAACAAGTACCTTAACAATTGTAGAAAACAAGCGGATGACATTTACAAGACACTTGTAACGAGATCCCCAACGAGTATCTTTGGGCCTCTTCAAACCACTCTTGATCCAAACCTGATCCACTGAAATTTTCCCCCACTTCCAATGCTTGAGTAACTTCTTGAGCTTGAATATTACGAATCATTTCTCTTCTCTTGAAAGAAACTCCAACAACATTAAACAAGTTTGAAAGTATTTCAAAAAGCCAACCACAACTATCATTCCTTTTAGTAACGGCAACTAGTGCTAGTTGAAGTTGATGAGCAAAACAATGTATACAGTAGGCTTTTGGAGTATAATTCATAATTAAAGTCTAAAGGTCATTTATTTCACCCTTCATATTACTAGCCCCATCATTCCCCTTGCCCTCTTATCATAGATGGACTCAATGAATATTCCAAAAGTAGTGACATCATTGCATCTTTAAGAGATAAAGCGGTAGTATCATCAACATGAACAATACCTAAAAATCTCTCCATTACCTTTCCACTATTTCTATCAACAAAGCGCAAAATAAGAGCTAGTTGCTCTTTTTGGGACACATCACTTGACTCATCGGCCAACATAGCAAAGTAATCATCACCAAGCTCTTCAATTATGCACTTAATCGTTTCTTTTGCACAACAATTAATAATGTTTTGTTTTGGATCGGGGGAGAAGTCATTTGACAATTTCTAGGTGCATTTTCAAGAGTATGATCACCTACTTCCTTAACCTTATCTCCTAACCATTTCAATAGCTCAATGAAATTACCCCTATTATGAGACTCATCACTTTCATCATGGCCACGAAATGTCAAACCTTGCCCCAAAAGAAACCTCAAAAAAATTAAAGATGCATTCAAACGAATATAATATTCATTTTTAATCACCTCACTTGCCTTTTCAAGCATATTCACAATTGATTTATTTTTCCCATCTTTTAAATTCACATACTTCTCATAAGAAAGATTATGAGTACTCTTAATTCCACCAACATGCTTCTCAAATCGTTCTAGTTTATTCCATTTCCTAAACCCTCCATCAACAAATGCATCACCTCCCATATTATTTTAAAATTCACCTTTGAACAAATAACATACAAAACAAAATACGACATCTTTTTCAATGCTATACTCAAGCCAATCCCATTTGTTGAACCAATTCACACTAAAACGATGCAAACCTCCTACTTGTCTTTGAGGGAAGTTGTGAGTTTTTGGTTGACAAGGTTTTTTAGAATATAAGCTCTCCTTACTGCATTTTTTTGATTTGGGGGATAATCCATTATATTCATTCTTTTTCCCGGATCATGGGGAAGTAGTTAACATCATATATCAATTCTTCCTCCTCCAGTGGTACATTACTAGTACTTGTAACACCACCATTTTCTACAATATTTTCTTGAGTTTCGGGGGAGGTAAATGAAGTACGTGGGTTCATTTCCTTGAGATTTCATTCTTTTAAACATGAATTGTCGAAGATCGGGTTGTTTTGACATGTCCTAATTTAATCATTAAGAATGCAAACAATGAATCAATAATAATTCAATTACCATCGTATATTCAAATCATACAATCCGAATAACCAAACAATTTAACACAAATAACAAGTTATAAAGTGAACAATTTGCCAACCCTAACTAAACATTGGAATTCAAACAATTAACAATTAGAAAATTAGGATTTAAACAATTAACACTTTAAAAAAATTGGCACTTAAACAATTAAAATATAATAAGATTTAGGGTTTAGAGGGTTAATTTATAATTAGAAGTTACTTAATATGAATTTGGGGAAAAATCAAAGAAAAATTGATTGTTGGTGTGCCGTCGGTGGGGTGTCAGTCAGCGTCAGCCGTCAGGTGTTCGCCGGCGTCAGACATGGTCTTGTCAGTCGTCACAACGTCACTCGTGTCTCGTGCTTCGTGGTCCACTGGTCCCGTGGAGTACAGTAGTGGTCTAGAGGAATTGTAAAAGACTTAATATTTTTTAAAATTTTCAAGTTTGTCTTTTAGTATTTTTTATTCTTTATATTATTTGTCTTATATACATGTGATGTGACTTAACTTTCTTGTACCTTGTGTGTGTTTTGCAAGTTTGATGTTTTATTTCAAAGTGGGGGATAGCTGTCCTCCCTTGTACCCCTCTCCCTCCGCCACTGACCGTTATCATGTTAGAGATTTTTTCCTAACCATTAATTATGCATACGTTAGAGATTTTTTCAAAAACATTAATTATATACACGTAAATTACACAAAATTCCTTCGGTATTGATAGAAAAAGACAACTTTATCTCTTGATAAACATCAAATGTATTTCAAGAGGATTAACCTATGCAAGCATGTACAGTTGAGCATGGTCTAGGCTAGAATTAGGGCTAGTTAGGCACACTACGAAATGGATCGAACATAACACAACATGCACTCCAATGGAGCATGGGTTATGCCTGGACATCTTTAAAAAGATTCAATTTCATTTATAAATTTAATTCACCAGCTCCGGGCTTAGAGATTCAAGTTCAAAAACAAAACATTTTAGAATCCGAGGCAAAAGTTATTATTATTGAACGAAAGATTTGTCCTAGCTTAGTCGAAATCTAAGGCAAGCTTTTGATTGTTTTAAGAATCAAAGTTTTTCTCATTTGTTCAAATGATGGGAGTTCAATGCCTATATATAGGGATTCATGTTTCTAAGGTGGAATATTTCTAAAGGGTTTTATACATTACATTATCATAAACGTTTTGGCCTTTATAGGAATCTTGTATACAAAGAGCTTCTACATAATTCCATAAAAGATATCTCTAAAAATTACAAAATACTTTTAAACAATTTCCATCTCGACTTTCCTACATAAAATTAAAACACCCTATTTCCTTCCAAAGCACTCTAACCCTTACTTGGAACATTAACCTCAGTGGACCCCTAAGTTTGAGTTTATTTTAAGCATGTTTGGCTCATCCAAGTGATGCATTAATATGATACCATGAAACATGTATTCATTGTGACTCAACTGTCGAAAGAAAATTCAAAAGTAAAGTTCTTTATTAGGTATGTTGTTCCTAGCAGTCCATGTGCACACCCTAGGCCACGATACCATTTTCATTTCCATTGACCTATTCAATGTGCATTGGATGTGGGAGACAACTAGTTTTTTTTTTCGTAAGAGTAATGTAAAAGATTGCAAATGAATTCTTTTGATATAGCACCTTTAATTTACAATTTCTTTTAATTATCATTGTTTATTAAAAAGCTCAAGCATCTGACCATTCATGATTTATGATTTGAAATAGCTACTCATCTTCTATAGTACTCCCTCCGTTATTAAATACTTTCTCTATTTCTTCATGCGCTGAGTTTTACGAGACATTGGAGAAAGTAATAAAATTTAGAGATAGTAGGGTTAGTGGAAGGTAAATTGGAGGAGAGAGAACCTAAAAGTAGTAGAATTGGGTCTCATCACTAGTTGAGAGAAATGAATTAAAAATTATAAAAACTTTCCAAATAAGGAAATGGAACAAGTATTGAAAAACGGCCGCAAAAGGAAAGTGGAGCAAGTATTTAAAAACGGAGGACTATACCACAAGGTGAGTAGCTATTTCAAATGAAAATTTTATATACACCTAAAGTACTAATGAACAAACAATCATCAAAATTAGAAAAAAAATTTCTCACTTTACAACTTGGTGTATATAAGAAATTAAGAAACCCCATTTTGTATTACACAAATTTATTGCTTGTTTTTTTAATTGGTGGCGAATCTAGTATTTTTGATAAATGAGTTTAAAATATTGAAATTTGACACCTAATCAATTAAATTTATGAATGTAAATCATTATATATATATATATATATATATATATATATATATATATATATATATATATATATATATATATATATATATAGGGTCAAATGAAAAGCTCCTTAAAATAAGAAGATGAGAAGGATTTTATGTGCATAATTTTTGTATTGAATGTACATATTTTTTGAACTGAATGTGCAAAAAAAATTAACCCACATTAAATTTAATGTGCATAAATTTTGAACATAAGTGAATATTTTCGGAATTTCCAGAAAATTCAAATTTTTTATTTGTTTGAAAATCAATTTTGCACATTTACTGAAAAAATCATGCATATTTCATCCTTCTCATTTTAAGAAACTTCTCATTGGATCCTTTGTATCTTTATAAAAATTTATATAAAAAGAAATTTATGACCAATATTAAAAACATAAAGGATATGATAAAAAGGGACCGAGACGGTAGTAATAACGTTTTAAAAAGAGTGAAAATGAATAAAACTATAACAATTATTGTTGATTACTAATTGAAAATTATTATCTTAATTAATCTAATTTTCTTCAAAAATAAAATCTTAACCAATCTAATTGAAATAAATATGAATGACAAAAGAAAATTTTATTGATCAATACTAATCTTCTTAAACAATAAAAAAAAATGGGAAAAAAATCAATGGTTGGTAAGGGTTTTGAACCCCCACCTCCTGACTGCACAAAAACCCCTTAGAGCATAGCCAATAGATGTCCAAGCTAATGGTGGTCATCATATTTTTTTATTACTTTCTCTCTCTTCCACCTCATTTATGCCCAACTCTCATGTCCATACACTCATAATGGTTTCCCTTTAATTTTGTGGGCATTGATTCTCTTTTCCTTCCATTTCTCACGCGAGCCCCCGTCAATTAAAAACAAAAAAAACTAAACCACCTCTCTTTGTTAGACAAGTGACGAAATGCCACTGAATGCCCACACTCAACAAATGGTCGTGGCCATGACCTGGTCATAAACCATTTCTTACCAAAAGTACAACTTTTTCATATTTTAATCTTTATTTATTTTTCTCTCTAGTCATGCCCACCCAAAATGGGTAAACATTGGCTATAATCTTAGAACACTCTCACTCATGGGCATTTTTTTGCCCATGAGGAGAAAATAGTTATAAAAAGGTTAAAACTGTTTCCCACTCATAGGCATTAAAAAAAATGCCCATGAGGAAAACCTCAAATGCCCATAGCAATGACAACATTTATTATTTGCTACAGTAGCGTGGACCATGGAACTAAATAAGCAGAAAAAAAAGCTATATATATTTTACAAAATAATGTGACGATGCTAATGTTTGAGAGAGAAAAATAGGAGGGAGAATGGTGTGGGGGTTTTTAAGCCCATGAGTGTGAGAAATTATTAAATAAAATGTCCATGAGAAAAAGTGGAAAAGAGGAGTGAAAAGTGTGTGAGAGAGAATGACATTTTTTTATTTTCCCATGAGTGAGGCTCTGTTCTTTTGAGCTTCCGGGCAGAGCA